TATGTATAGATGAGCAGGATTTCTCCCCTTTGGCATGTCTCTTGGTAAAATGGGAAAATAAGTTCATTCTATAACTGTAAGTGAAGGTCTGATTTTCTTCAAAACAGTTTATTAAGCTTTTTATTTTAAAATGTTTTGTTAAATGTTTTTATAATTCTCCATAAATATCTTATGATGTTAACAGCAATTATTTTGATACTTCCATCTATATGTCTTCTTTTGCTTCCTTCTGTGTGCTCTCATTTACCCAAACCTTTCTCATTATTACTTTAAACCTCTGATTTGGAAATCTCTGTCCCCCAATTTCACTTACCTCCAACCTCAACACAAGCCTCTTCCTCTAGCCTTTCCTGTCTCAGCAAAAGATGCCACTACTTGTATAATTCCTCAAGCCCATGAGTCATCATCACCTTTTCTTCTCTCTCCCACCAAATCAAATCACTCCTCAGGTCCCACTGATTCTACCTCCTTGATGATTTTTATGCCATTCCCTTTTGTCTATGGAGTTGCCAAGACTTTAGTCAAGGCCTTTTATAGATATCTCCTACCTCTTTTCCAGCTCATCCCAGACCTTTCCAGTTTGGTCTCTACTCAGCAAACTAAATTGCCTTTTTATTGTTATACTCCTCTGGTGAAAGCCAGTAGAAATAAACAAAGACCACCCTAATTAAAATAAGTAGGGATTATTTAATATCCAGAGTTTACTATAGAAAGAGAGTAAGCCAGCATTACTTAATTTTGGCAGACTCTAAGGCTTTGTAGTGAAAAAAGCGAAGGCTTTTGGAATGCTCTGGTTAGAGGTTTTTGCCATGAAGAAGCTGGAGATGGGCTAACTACAAACAGCATTCTGTGTGATTGATTTGGGAAGCATATTTGGCTTTTTCTTGTTGGTCCCATGTAACATATGAGGCACAAGAAATAGGGAATCTGGAAGGTATTGGCTAATTCTGACTTTCCTGAGCCAGTTGCTTCCCAGTTTGATTGCTGCAAGGATTGTAGGCAAGAGTTCTGTTGTCATATATAGTCTGGCCATTGCCTGTTTATATAGTCTCTCAAACTATTCCATAGTTTCTGAAGATCCTTAGTGTAGCATACAAGGCCTTCTGTAAAATGGGGTTAATGATAGTACCTACCTCATAGAATACACTTAATAAATACATGTAAAGTGCTTAAAACTGTGCCTGGAAGTAGATATCACCATCATGTTATAATCATTCTTGTTATTCATAATTTTGATGTAGGAAAGATGTTAGGGTTCAAAGCTGATGACCAAGAAAGAATTCTTGAGACTTCCTTGGTGCAAAAAGGTGGTTTTATTAAAGCAGGGGAGAAGACTTGTGGGCAGAAAGCTGCTGTGGGGTCATGAGGAGTGGCCCATTACATACTTTTAAATTGGGAGGAGGGTAGGAATAGTGTAACCCTCCCAGGTATTTTGGAAACAGAGTTTCAAAGATCCTGAGGGGGCTAGCTATTGTTAGGAAAAGGTCATCTATTATTGTTTAGTAAAAGCTCAGTCATGAGACTCTTCAGATGTACTTCAGTAGGTCATATGCTTCGAAGATGATTGCCAGCCTATATCTTGGGCGTGGGGGGTGGGTGTTGAAAGAAAGGAAGTATCTAAAAAAAATGTTTTATATGTTAAAGTAGACTACAGGATTCTGGGGGTCTGGGGCAGATTGCCTTTTGCCCTTAGGAAAGTATTGATGTTGACTGAGGTAGCTGGGTCCCTAGAGGAATGTCACTCTGCCTGTTTCAAGGACTTGTGAATGAGCTCTAAGTAGGAAGGAAATTTAAGTTTTCTTTTGCCTCTGCTTCCCACCTCAATTTGACCTGTCCTTACCTAATTAGCATCATCTGTAGCCACTATCCCCTGCACAGTCTTCTCCAACCTGGTGAACTCCTCCCCATCTTCTCAGTGTCTTATTATCTCTTGCCTCCAGGCCTTCACACATGCTACTCCCCCATCTCCATCTCTCAAACCTTCAGTTCATCTCACAAATCCTACTTACCTCTGCTCACAGATTACTTCTTCCAGAAGCTGTCCCCTGCCTTTCTGTGCCTCCAGTCTGTGTGCTTCCAGAACATATTTTTCAGCATCCACGGAGCATTTTGTAGCATGTTATCTGTATTACTTGTATTCCATGCCAGACTGATAGCTACTTGAGGTCAGAGCAATGTTGTTTCCACACCTAGCACATTTCTGAAACATAGAAGCTGCTTATAAATATTTGTGGAAGGAGGAAAAGGCTAATGGAAGAAGGAAAGGAGAAATATTAAAAATATAATATGCCAAGCAAGCAAAACACAGAGTAGTATGAAGCAATAATGCAACAGAAATCTAAGAGGAATCTGTGCTTTAACTTGACTACTCTGTTTCTTAATAAAAGTTATACCTGCTCATTTGGGGAAAACAATTCTGATCATATGTACAGGTATTAAAAAATTTTTGCATTGACTTTTCATTTCAATATGCTTTCCAACCCTCAAAGCCAATATTGCAGAACATCTGAAAATTAAATCTCACTGTATATATTTCTCAGAGACCACAAGAGAAAAAAAGAAGACCACTGAGGCAATGGCAGATGGCACTGTTAAATCCTCATATCTTAAAAGGCAAAATTCTATTCATCAAATTTTTTGATAACAGTAAATTTAATAATTTAAATAATATCATAGTAAAATATAAGTTTTTAAGGATAACTATAATACCAGGTATAGATCAGTATTCAGTAAATCCTTTTAGATTGTTAATTTTTAAGTAAAAATCATTTTGAGTAAATAAACTCACCCAGTTACTTATCTACAGACTTAAAATTAGAATACCTCACTGAAAATTGTTTTTGAAAGACATTGCCTGAAATCAGAATATAAGTTTGTAATTGTGAAAGGAAAGGAAATCCTGGACTTAAGAGGCAAGGGAATAATATATATGCAGAAATATGGAAAGGTATGTGTTATAGATTTAAAAGTCAGAAAATACAATGGTGTTAACACTAAGCAAAATTATGTATCTACACAAGTAAATAAAAATAGAAAATCATATAGGGGCACCTGGGTGGCTTGGTGATTGACTGTTTGCCTACAGCTCAGGGTGTGATCCCAGAGTCCCGGGATAGAGTCCAGCACCGGGCTCCCTGCAGGAAGCCTGCTTCTCCCTCTGCCTGTGTCTCTGCCTCTCTCTCTCTGTGTCCCTCATGAATAAATAAATAAAATCTTAATTAAAAAATGTTTAAAAAGAAAAGAAAATGTCATGCAACAAAGCCTTCATCAAAACTGCATTGAAAATGTGGAGATTTTTGTGTAAGTACTTAAATTGGGATGAGGGTACCTTCTATTTCCTTCTCCACTTATCTACAAATAATATGCCAGGCCCAGTTGTTGGTGCGGGGGGATGCCAGAAAACAAGTCTTTGTCTTAAAGTGAGTTTCTGGGTAGTGTGGGATAAACATGCAAACCACTTTAGAGCTATGATGAGAATTGTAATGGATATGCACATATGCTGTGGGAACACAAAGGAAGGATTTTGTTCTATCCTTTTTCATCCCCTGGGGAGGCCGCTTTTTAGCTGAGTTTTGAAGCACCTGTAGGGGTTAACCCAGGAGAGGAATGAGATCATCATAACCAATGAAAATAGAGGAGAGGTGAGAGGCATTAGTGGAGAGTCATTGAATGAGTTGGATGGGTTATGTTCAGATTTGAGTTTTATTATTCAGACCATAGAATAGAGGACTGTGTTGAAGGGTGCAAGAGTAGAGGTAGAGAGAACAGGAGGAAACCTTCCAAACTGAGTGAGAGATGAGAACTGTATAAATCAGTAAGATGGTATGGGCTCGAGAAATATTTAAGATGTACCATCTATAGACCTTGGATATTTTCTTTTTTTTTAAGGTTTTATTTATTTATTTATGAATGAATGAATGAAAGAAAATACAAGGGGGGCAGAGGGAAAGGGAGAAACAGATTCCCCGCTGAGCAGACAGCCCAACACAGAGCTCCATCCCAGGACCTTGGGATCATGACCTGAGCTGAAAGCAGACACTTTACCACTGAGCCACCAGGTGCCCCAACATTCCATTTTCTAATGTGGATGACTGTAAGAATCCTTGTACCAACCGAGGGCAGCCTGGGTGGCTCAGCCGTTTAGTGCCGCCTTCAGCCCAGGGTGTGATCCTAGAGACCGAGGATCAAGTCCCAGGTCGGGCTCCCTGCATGGAGCCTGCCTCTCCCTCTGCCTGTGTCTCTGCCTCTCTCTCTCTCTCTCTCCCCCTTATAAATAAATAAAATCTTTAACAACAACAACAACAACAACAAAAAAGAATCCTTGTACCAACTGAAAGCAGGGATACCTAGGCCAGGAAGGTGATCTCCTTAGTGTAGAAGCAAGTCTTATGTATATCTATCTGCATAGGCAAACTCAATGTAATGTGCATGCTTGGGATGTGTAACATGTATGTGCCAGTTCATTTCACTTTTCAAAGCATGGAAGTGCTATTATTCCAGATGCTTTCTTGAGCCTTTCAGGACTAATAAAATTTAAGGACAGTAGGATTATAAGATAATACTAGAATTCAAGAGGCATTTTTTTTAACTCCAAAATTTATTTACCCTATACGCTTTTCATTCTCCCCTATCTTTCTTGTAATTGAAGTATAGTTGACATGTAATGTTAGTTTCAGATGTACAACATAGTCATCCCACAAGTCTGTGGTTATGTTGTGCTCACCACAAGTGTAGTCCCATCTGTCAACACACACTATTACATACCAGTGACTATATTTCCTATGCTGTCTGTACTTTTCATCTCTTATTCATTCCATAACTGGAAGTCTGTATCTCTCACTCCCCTTCACCCATTTTGCCCATCCCTCCATCACCCTTTTCCCCTTACTATCTTTTTGTCATATTTTTAACTTGCCAGGAGATATCATATAAAAATAGTATGTTTGATGTGATTTCTTGATTCTTATGACACAGAATTCTAAGAGTTATGTGTTTTTTAGGGTGCTTTTAAGACCATGGACCTGAATCGTGTCATCAGCCTCCTTGAAAAGACAGATAAGGTAAGCTTTGAAAGAAAATTTCTCTGTTATATCACTTATAAACTGTGATTTCCCTGAAAGGTAACATGTATTCCCCCAAAATAAGTCTTGTTTCTTTCTTTTTGTTGAAAACATTTCAAATAGTAAGTGCCTTATATTCAAAGGCTGTTTAAATACGTTAGTAGGAATGTATTTAACCTGGTAGGGAGGCTGGAGGAGGAGATTAGATTTGGTTTTGTATAATGGACATATCAATGGTGGATATAAACAGAAGGAATCATAAGAATAAAGGAAGACTCTTCTAGCCTTTACAAACTGCTTGTTACCAAGTAGGATGTGGGGAGTAAGGGTAGAAAAAGCATATCATTATGTACTAAATTTCTCTGATATGAAATCTGTGTGTGTGTGTATATATATGTATATATACACTCATACATTATTGATAAATGATCTATTTTGAGAGGAATCTTACACAGAATGGAATGGAGATGAATTTATTTCCAATAAGATTCAAACTGGAGAGTTTAGGCATTGAGGGAAAGGATAACAAATGTATTTCATGCATACCACACTGTCCTGACGTTACTCAAGAATCAGCTTTGAGTGCCTAAAAATCAGCACAAAGTATAAAATTACTACAGGATGAAGATTGCATATTTTTAATATGTGGAAAATGGGTTGATCATGTTAGAGCCAATCAAAACAAAACAATGCCTAGTGATTAGTAGGCACAAAAATTTAGTCATTGGTTTAATATTTTTTAGTCTCTACATTTTAACATAGAGAAAAAGCACAATAAAGATAATGTATGTCTTGGTGGCTGTGTTTGCCATGCAAATTATGTTTAATTTTGAATATATTTGCATTTTAGAAAAAGAAAAATAAAAGAAAATTACTAGTTGAAAACTCAACTCCTACTACTTGTTAAATAAAGGTAGACCAAAAACAAAAAAAAAAAGTATAAAAAAAATTGCCACAGCTTCTTACAAAGGATTTAAGAATTTTAAAAGGACAGAGTAATTCAGTTATAAAAACAAACACATCACTGTATTGAATTTTGTTTTGTTTTAATTGGCTGAAGATGTTTGTGCCATTTACTGGGCGTAATTTAAAAGTTAAAAATACAATTTCTGCAACCAAATTGCCAAATTTGACTCTTAACATACCCCCTTATTAGCTGGGTGTCTTTGGACAATGTAGTGTTTCAGCTTGAGTTTCTTGTTTTGGAAAAGAGAGATAGTAAAGGTACCTTCCAAGTAAGGTTGTTTTAAAAATTAATTAAATATCATGTATCTATAGTGCATATATGGTACAGGTCATAGAAAAATGCTCAGCAAATTCACGTATTTTTAATATTATTTCTGGAAACAAATGCTGCTTTTATATTAACTTAGTTTTGATTCTCAATTTACCAATCAAATGTAAATGGTACATTTATTTTTACCTTCACTGTTTATTTTCTAATGCTTACAAAATAATATAGTAATTTAAAAATTACTTGATAATTTTAATGTCTACTTTCTACATTAAAATTTTTTTTTAAATCTCAACGGATTTAATAGCACAAAAGAACTAAAATAGATAACTCGTTTTAGGATGATTTAGAAGAAAAACAACTTAAATCTGTCAAGAAACTGGTGCAGTGTTATCAGAATGGACTTGTATCCTTTACATATATATGTATGTATGTTTCATTTACCCTGAAATGGGAGAATTTTTATTAGAAAATGTATTAGTTCCCTCTTCCTGCTGTAATAAATGACCACAAACTTAGTGCCACAAAACAGCTTAAAGCTTTTGTCTTGTAATCCAAGAGGTCAGAAGTCCAAAATCAGCCTCACTGGGCTAAAGTCAAGATTTTGACTGTGCTAGTGCCTTCTGAAGGCTCTTGAGGTGAATTCCCATCATTGCTTTTCCCAGTTTCTAAGGTGGCCAGCATTCCTTGGCTCATGGCCCCTTCCTCAAAGTAGTATCTATTTCACCTGTGCTTCTATGGTCATACCTCTGATCCTCTCCTACCTTTCTCTTTCCTATGTAGGAAGGATCCCTGTGATTACTGTGGGCCTATCTGGATATCTGGGATAACTTTCCCATCTCAAGATTGTTAATTTAATCACATCTGAAAAGTCCCTTTGCCATGTAAAGTAACATATTCACAAGTTCTGGAAGTTAGGATGTGGACGTCTTTGGGCAGGCCATTGTTCTATCACAGAAAATATCTAATATTTTGTGTTTTTCAAATAATTATATTTTTCATTTTTCAGAGAATATAAAATTGAAGAAACAGCAATTAACTCTGTGCAGATAATGGAAATTTTTGTAGACTTAGACAGTGGATATAGTTAGGGAGGCCAAGTCAAAGTCTTGTTTCTACCACTTTACTTGATTTATTTATACTATTGATAAACTTCTTAACTTCTCCACCCTTATAAAATGGGAGTAATAGTACCTTATGAGGTTGTTAGGAAGACTAGATGAGATAATACATGTAAGTGCTTGATAACCTACAACATACTATATAAATATGTTATCCCCACTGTATATACCACCCTGATCAGAATATATGGAAACCAGTGCAATTCAAAACCATCTGTGCTTAAGAACCAGTTTATTGTTGGGGTGTCGTTGTTGTTATAATAATCTTTGCATATATTAGCTATTACAGAAGCCAATACAGTTGTCATAGGAAACTCTCACTTTCTGTAGTCATATTACCACAGACTGGTAACACTGGATTCGAGAACTGGCAGTGGTTCATAGAGCACCCCTTCAGTAGTATTGATCTCTATGGTTTCCAAAAGTTGTCCAGCCTTGTCTAAGGAAGATACGTCTCTAATAATAGCTTGTTTCAGTGTTTCAAACATATTGAGGCTCCCATTTAGGGAAAGGGGCCTAAAAATTTTAATTCTTTTCTAGCCTTACTTTAGCCTTCTTTTATATGGATTTGTTGAGTCCATCAGTTACCTAATGACGTGTGGATATCAAGCATTATTTCCTGATAGCCAAAAAAGTCTACTAGCAAGTGATTTCTTTCCCTATATTAACCTGATACCTCAACACTTCCATCTATTCTTCTTCAGGTTAGAAAGTTGGTGGCAAATAGCTCTATTTTTTTTTTTTTTCAAAGTAGGCTCCATGCTGGAGCTCGAACTCACATCCCTGAGATAGATACCTGAGCTGAGATCAAGAGTCAGACTTGATTAACCAACTGTGCCACCTTGGTGCCCCCAAATGGATCTATTTCTGAAGGCCTTTAGTAGACTGGCTTTACAGATGATAAAACATAAAGCAAAGATAAGTTAGAGAACTATCTTGGAGATTTGTACTCTAATATAATCAGCTTTCCCATCTTTTCCTAAGAAGCTCCTAGAAAGAGACTAGAAGGGATAGGATTCAACCAAAGAAGTATGTCACAACTATCATGTTTCCTTGGCTATAAAAGAAAATCTGTGAAATTTGCCTATGTACCAGTTGGGTTTTTTTTAAACAGATAAAAAGTGCTGTTACTACAAGATTTAGAGAAGTTAGTTTTCACTTTTATACTAGTTTTAAATGAAAATAAATCTCAGGTTATATCTTAAAAGCAAGAAAATGCATCTGAATAACGTTAATAAAATAAAGTAAGGTAGGTTTGGGTTGTTTATTCTGGAGCAGTGTATGTTTTGTGTGTGAGTGGGGGAAAGACAAAGGATAAAAGTGAACCATTAACTTTTCTTACCGTGTTATTACCTTACTGTCAGTAGTAAGGTATTGAACTCCTGAACCCATGGTATAGTGGTTGGTAATCAAATTCTAAAGACGGTGAGAAGAGAAAACAATATTTTGAATAAAAGTTTACTAAGACAAAAATTAAATAATGTTCCTAAAAAATATGATTCTAAGTTTTCTTATTTAGTCTTCAAAATTAGTATAATTAAAGCAGTGTCAACCACATTTAACAGATGGAATTCTATAGACTTTCTTGAGAGAACTGCTATAAAGAATATGCTAATGAAATAGTAATTTTAATTTTATTTCTTAACTAAAAATATTAAAGCCCCTAAGGGATTTAGCCCAAATATTTAAAATTTTGAATCTGTGTGCAGAAAAAATTGAAAACCAGCCCCATTTTATAGAATCTGCATTTAACATCCTAAAATTATGTAGGTAAGTTGCTTTTCTTTATTTTATATTAGCCTGCAGTATTTTATTATGTTTTATTTTGTTATGTGGTATGGTAAAGTGATACTCAGAAAACTTCACTTGATCACTTGATTTTAATTGATATTTCAAAGGTAGTCAATTTTATTGTACTCCAAGATTGCTAACCACAAGATATTAAACTGTAAATATGTTAAAATGTTTTGTCAAAATAAGTTGCTGTCAAGTGAACAACAAATGTGAGATGAAGCAAGAAATTGTGATTTTTTTTTTTTAGAGAGAATTTTATTTATTTTTTTTTTTTTAGAGAGAATTTTTTTAAAAAATTTATGAACAGGGCAGCCCCGGTGGCGCAGCGGTTTAGCGCCTCCTGCGGCCCAGGGTGTGATCCTGGAGACCCGGGATCGAGTCCCACGTCAGGCTTTCTGCATGGAGCCTGCTTCTCCCTCTGCCTGTGTCTCTGCCTCTCTCTCGCTCTCTCTGAATGAATAAATAAATCTTAAAAAAAATTATGAACACTGCTAAATAATTTGTCTAGTTTTTTTCTCTCTGTAGAAAATTTGACTCCAAGATATATTAAGTTCTAAGTCATCTATGTCACCAATTATTTTTTGGTATATATTTTTTAAATGTAAATGAGGGGTCAGCATTATAAAATAAATATACCTATACTCCATACTATTGTTTCTCCAACCATTTGAGGGGACTGGGGATATATTCACAGTTTGTTTGTTGCCAAGTAGTAGCTAATCAAGATATACATTAAAATATCCATCTTTAGTTTTCAATATAATATAGTAGAGAAGATTTCTTAAAGTAGGAATAAACTTTTCCATTAATTTAACCCTTAAGGGATCCCAGGGTGGCGCAGCGGTTTGGCGCCTGCCTTTGGCCCAGGGCGCGATCCTGGAGACCCGGGGTTGAATCCCACATCGGGCATCCCGGTGCATGGAGCCTGCTTCTCCCTCTGCCTGTGTCTCTGCCTCTCTCTCTCTCTCACTGTGTGCCTATCATAAATAAATAAAATAAAAATTTAAAAAAAAAAATTTAACCCTTAAATCTTTCTACTAATTTAGCTTTTTAAATAGTATGTTTCTTTTAGTATACAAATAATATTAGTAGAACTATGTATACATGGTAGTTTTAATTCTTTTAGAGTTAGTAGTAGTAACATTTAAAGATTTTATAACTATATACACTTAATTTTTTAGGTATCTGAATAAATAGTCAAAAATAATTTATTGAATGTCTTTGCTATGCCTTACTTTTTAATACAGACCGTGAAAAATAAATTATAGCTCTGGTGCTTTCAAGGAACTTTTATGTACTAATTAGAAATTATTATTATATTGATGCGAGATTATATTGTTATCATTTCAAATTTCTCAAGTCCTAGAATACCAGGCCTATAAGCATTACTTTTAGTAATGCCAGTAATGAGCTCCACCAAGAACTGATTCTCTGTTAAAGCTGTGATTGAATGTGTCCTCACATAAAATGACAGACTTTTTTTTTCTTTTTTAAAGATTTTATTTATTTATTCGTTCATGAAAGAGAAAGAGAGAGAGAGGCAGAGACACAGGCAGAGGGAGAAGCAGGCTCCTGGGACTCGATCCTGGGTCTCCAGGATCAGGCCCTAGGCTGAAGGCGGCACTAAACCACTAAACCGCTGAGCCACCTGGGCTGCCCAAATGACAGACTTCATTTGAATTGCACTCTTCACTTTTGAATTGCACTCTTCACTTTCCCTCATATTTCATAATTATTCATTTTATTTCATTTTTTTCTCCTTTGCTAATTTCTTCTTTCATCCTGCATTTCTCTATACCTCACCTCATTTGATTCCCTTCTTAAGACGTTTTTGGGAGATAAAAACATTGAAAATAAATAATAAAACACAGCCTTTCTGTTTTGTCTTCTATGTAGTATGTTTTTTCACTACATCAGAAGTATAACTCATATTATTTTCATGACCTTTTGCCGGGGGATCTCTTCTAGTGCTTTATCTTTTAGGTTGTTTCCTTTAATAGAAAAGGAAAAAGTTTGAGGATGAGAAATAATTTTGGAGTTTTTCACTTTAGAGATCCAACAATGAGGTGGATACCAAATAATAAGTTATTGGTTCCAAATGAAAAATTCTAACAAACACTGAAGAGTGAACTCTCTGGGGATGCCTGGGTGGCTCTGTGGTTGAGCGTCTGCCTTTGGCTGAGGGCATCATCCTGGGGTCTGGGGATCAAGTCCCACATTGGGCTCCCCACAGGGATCCTGCTTCTCCCTCTGTGTCTCTGCCTCTCTGTCTGTGTCTTTATTTATTCTCATGAATAAATAAATCTTTTTAAAAAAATTAACCTCTTTGGCATTTATAAAATTGTCCTTTTCATAGCTTGCCCTTGAAGTATCTTTACATTTTTGTTGAAAAATATGAATTAAAAGTCCTACAAAGAAGATATACTTTTATATAGTACAAGAGGTTCAAATTTTGAACCCATGGAATACCAAAATAGTCCAAATTTTGTATTTAAGAAATAACTTTTATCTCCCCTTTGACATTCAGTCTAATAACTTAGGTTTGAAACCTGTCTTTTATGATTTTTAAATAAACTATTTTCAAATAATTTTGAATATAGTAGCTGTGGAATATAATTCAAATATAATTAATATTTATTACATTTTTTATTTATATGGTGTTGCAAGATGGTTTTCTTAACCCTTGCCTTTTATGTCCATCTCTCTTCATTTTTATTTTATTTTATTTTATTTATTTTATTTTATTTTATTTTAATTATTATTTTTTTATTTATGATAGTCACACAGAGAGAGAGAGAGAGGCAGAGACATAGGCAGAGGGAGAAGCAGGCTCCATGCACCGGGAGCCCGACGTGGGATTCGATCCCATGTCTCCAGGATCGCGCCCTGGGCCAAAGGCAGGCACCAAACCGCTGCGCCACCCAGGGATCCCTCTCTTCATTTTTATAAGCCTAATCTACCTTCTTTTCGGTCAGTTAGAAACACAAAAATTTTTTGATAGTTGCCAATTTTCCCAGGGCTACACAATAGGCTATTATCCTCATTTTATTCTTTAGAAAGGAAATTTTCCCCAAGTTTGCAAATGATGGTTCATTTAAGGACTTCATTAAACATAACTCATGTGTTCTTCATTCCTATTGAAGCTTGCCATTTTTGAAAAAGAAAGTATCAGATGAAATAACATATGCTGAAGACGCTGCTAATTCAATTGCGCTTCTGGGTGAGTTAAGATTTCTTTAAGATGGAGGAGAGGGGTATAGTATATGACAGGCCCTACTGACAAGAAAGAAATATCTCAGTCACTAAGTTTTAGAGTACTCCAAATGTAGGTTCTTTTCTTGTTTCTGGTTGGGAATTAATCATAGTGTGCTTATGATAATTTTTTTATCATTTTTCACTCACGTGTTTTATTATACTACAATTCTGTGTTCCTTAATTGAAGGACTGGCAAATGCTGATTTGTCTTGATGTTATTTCATTTGTTGAAATATTTAACTTTTTGGTAAATCAGAAGTATATGTACCTCTCAATAATCACAAAAATGTTTTCAACATTAAACTAATAATTGCTAGAATCTAATTAATTGCTAGTCATTGAGATCCAAATTGTTCATTAAATAATTTAAAATTTTAAATAAAATCATGAAATGGTGAGATAGTAATCCTTTTGTATCTAAGTAAGTTTCATAGTCTTTGAGGGTAGATATTCTGGGAGAAATTATTATGGCCTAGGATGGAAAAGATGTCAAGAAAATTATATAAACATGAGGTGTTTGATAAGATGACTGCAAGGAGCAAGCAGGCTAGAAACTAACTGGAAACTTTAATTCAGTGAATGTCATTGGTGGAAATTTACAATGGGAAGCCAACCCAAAAGAGGACACGATAGTATTAATGGATAAAAGATGTAGGTTTGGTTAATAACCTTAAAAAACGCCTCTGTTGCCCTTACTATTCTAAAATTTTGCCTTTAAGAGTGTTGGCAGGCATTTGTGTGATAAATATAGGGCTCTTACTGTCAGTCTGCTCTTTGCTGAGTAACTGTTTGCTTGTCTTGAAAGAAGTATGAACTCTTAGCTTAAAATGAGCTCCTTTCACTGATTATTGGCTGCATGTACTACTGTTCTGACCCTTATTAATTACTGGAAACATGAGTTTAAACTAAAATAATTATATAGAGTATAAAGGGTTGAACAAAAGCTGTTCATTTTTACTAATAACTTCCAGTTTCTACTATGTAGTAGTAAATCATATTACTTTTTCTTTTAAGTGATAGTTATTTCTGATTCAAGAATAGGATTTTGGAAATGTATGAAGGAAAAAGTTGGTATTCTGTCCTGAGGTTATAAAACATAAAACTGTGAAAAATGATCTAAACTTACAAGAACTAAAAGGGTAGAGAAGCAGATGAGAAATCTTAGAATTTCCTGTAAACTTGAACGTTTCCTTAGTTTTGTTGGAAAATTTTAGTTGTTCCTGTTGACTAAACTTTTCCAGAACAGTGATTTTTCAACATCAAAGGAAGTATTCAAAAAAATTAAGGGAATCATCTTGAAACTCTCTTTTTGTTTTCCCCTTCTTTTTTAGTGATGCTTTTTGCAGATAGATTCTCCTAAAACAAGGGTGTGGTTTTCCTATGTGCATCCTCCTTCTCTCCATTTTTGTACTCACTCACTGACCACTCTCAGAGGTGAAAATTATGCAAGTCCTAATGCAAAACACGAATATGTCAGGAACACCTTGTTCTCTCTTTCCCTCACAGAATCCACCCAGATCTAGTTCAGCCCTGAAGCTGCATGCAGAGGATATGGATCATTTCCAGAATCTCACAGATCATTTTCAGATTCTCTTAGGGATTATAACTTATAGTTTATCAGAGAAAACAAACAATCCAGTTTGAAGTATAGGCTGAAGCCAATTCAGAAATAATTTTCCCTATCCTTCATTTCTACCAAGATAGCTTGAATATAAACCTATTATATGTAGGGCAAAGACTGCCTAGAAACTCAGTCTTCCAGTCTGTCAGCAAATTGAAAAACAGCTCGCTTGGAACTTCTCTAAGCAAAGGATGCATTAATAGAGGCAACAAATTACTGATTCTCTAGTTAAGGGGAAAAATGCTAACCCACATCTTGCCAAAATAATAATAGTAACTTACTATATGCCAGATACTATTCTCATCTTTTTCTCATATTAACTCATTTAATCCCTACAGCAATCTTTAAAGTAGAAACTACTGTTATACATTTTATAGATGACAAACGTAAGACACAAGTTTACATAGGTAGTAAGTGACAGAACCAGTATTTAATCTTAAGCAGTCTGGTTCCAGCATTTATGTTATTCACCATTCTTTTCTTCCTGGGAAGGAGAGACTGAGTTGAATGAGGGGCCAAATATTATAAGGATAGATCCAAGATATTTCACATTTGCATGTGTGTATGTGTATGCATGTATAAAATTACAGGGTCCAGTTTGAATTTCTAGTGAGGATATTTTTAATTGTATTACCAACACATTTAAATTTGCAAATAAACTTATGATAGTGTTATTAAATAGTATTCATTTCTCCTTTTGGCAGGTGAATTAATGAAAATACCGAATTCTGAATTGAGGATACAAATTTGTAAATGTATTGTTGACTTTTATCATGCAGAACCACCAAAGAAGCATATTACAGGTGAAGTTTTCTTTTTTTTTTAAAGATTTTATTTATTTATTCATGAGAGACACACAGAGAGAGGCAGAGACACAGGCAGAGGGAGAAGCAGGCTCCATGCAGGGAGCCCCATGTGGGACTCAATCCCAGGACCCCAGGATCACACCCTGGGCCGAAGGCAGATGCTCAACCACTGAGCCACCCAGGCGTCCCACAGGTGAAGTTTTCAATGGTCTTTTAGTAATAACTTATGTCTGTAAAGCAATATTTTTTTTTCTCATTCTCTTTGAACTTGGAAAGACATTGTGGGATTGATGCAGGCTGGCTAGGTCCAAAGACCCAGAGGTATTCCCACAGGACCAGCCAAAAGGGTCCTTGGTTCCATACAGGATAGGAATCAAACATGAGCCAAGTGGAAGTGAGAGCAGAGTTTATTGAAGATGTAAAGAGAGTGTAGATATGGACAGAGCCTCTGGAAGACTCAGAAAAGAAGAGCGAGTCTTGTCTTTGCCTGGGGCCTGTGGTTTTTATTGAGGATTGTGGTCAGATGCACATGTCTTCTCAGGCATCCAGGAACAGTGAGTCTTGTCTTTGCTTGGGGCCTGTGGTTTTTATTGAGGAGTGTGGTCAGATGCACATGTCTTCGCAAGCATCCAGAAACAGTGAGTATCTCCAGGGGTCTTGATGAGTCAGTGTTCTTGGAAAACATTATGATGACCCTACCCAGTTACTCTTTAAATATTTTCTATTCTGGGCAGCCCAAGTGGCTCAGCGGTTTAGTGCCGCCTTCAGCCCAGGGCATGATCCTGGAGACCTGGGATCAATTCCCACGTCAGGCTCTCTGCATGGAGCCTGCTTCTCTCTCTGCCTGTGTCTCTGCCTCTCTCTGTCTCTCTCTGTGTCTCTCATGAATAAATAAATAAAATATTTTAAAAAATAAAATAAAATAAAATAAAATAAAAATAAATATTGTCTATTCTGCTGGAAGGCTCCAAAGAAATAATTAAATGCTTGACCTTTATAAGGAAGACATACATATTATATTACATATATTGTTATTTGCTTGATTTTTTACTCTAAACTAAATATTTATGACACAATTTTAAAAGTCATACCCAAATTAGTTTAATTTTTATTATTAATTTTATTCAATACTATTAATATTATTAATTATTTTTCTAACCTTTTTATGATTATTCCTAACATATTTTCCATCCAATTATTTTTTTTATTTAGTTTGCCAACATGTAGTATAACACCTGGTGCTCATCCCATTAAGTGCCCTCCTTAGTGCCTGTCACCTAATCACCCCGTCCCCCCACTTACCTCCCTTTTTACAACTCTTTGTTTGTTTCCCAGAGGTATGAGTCTCTCATGGTTTGTCTTTCTAATTTTTCCCCAGTTTCTCTCCTTTCAGTGACAGTCCCTTTCACTATTTCTTATATTCCATATATGAGTGAAACTATATGATGATTATCTTTCTCTGATTAAATTATTTCACTCAGCATAAAACCCTCCAGTTCCATCCATGTCGAAGCAAATGGTGGGTATTCAGCTCTTCTGATGGCTGAGTAATATTCCATTGTATGTATATACCACATCTTCTTTATCCACTCATCTGTCGAAGGACATCATGGCTCCTTCCACGGTTTGGCTCTGTGTTCTACCCAATTAGATGTTAAATATCTAATGCTAATAATATTCTCAAAGCTTAGCAAGAAAGTTTTGCATGTTACTCCTTGGGATCTTAATATAGCATGACAAAATGAGTCACACTAAAATGGATGGTATCATAATAAAGGGCACTTGCGCGTGGATGATATGTTATTTAGGACGTAGTTCCTACCTTCATGGTTTCTGTTATTTATATCAATCTTGGAAGAGCGAGAAGACATATATATTGAAGTTATTGTGTCTCTTAAGAGAGGTGTAAATAAGACTGTAGCAGAAAGGAAGGATTACTTATGACTCAGGGAAAATGGAAAGACATCTGAAGTACAGAGTAAGGGGATTATTAAATGTCAGATTTGAATTATTGTTGAGATAGACAGGTAGAAGTATTTGTAGATAGTAGACATTGGATACTAAAAACAGACCATATATACAGGTTTGGAATTCATACAATTAGAGATTAAAGTTGAAGCTATTAGAATGGTTTGCCAGGAGATAAAGCATATAACAACAAGGAACCAAGAATGGCAGCAGGGATAGTACCCATACTGACATGTGGGGAAAAAACGATCCACGAAATTGGCAGTGAAGGGAATTTCAAAGAGGAGAGAGAAAACCTAAAGACTGCCATATTTTGTGTGCCATTGAATGAAATGTTTGTTGAAGGAAGAAGTGGTCTAAGTGTCAAATACTGTAGAGGCTTCTGTCATTGAGGAATGAAAATGTCAAATTAATATGGTATCTGAAAAGTTATAGTGAGCCTTTGGCAGGTGTATTGCCGTGTAGTGATCAGGGCAGATATAGGATTGTCAGAGGACAGTCAGAGCTCAACTGGTAGGAAGATCAAAGAAAGACATCTGGGTTTTGCTCTTTTTAATTTGTTTTAGGATAAGGGAAAGTGAAGTTTATAGACAGATGAACAAGAAGCTAGTAATTAAAAAATGGGAGGGTAAAGTCCTAAAGCATGAACGGAATGGAATTAGGAGAACAGGTCAACCTTAGCAAGATACAGGCACTCTTCTTTAAGATAGAAAGGGAGACAGACATCTTATGTCTGAGATAAGGCAGAGGAGTTAAAGTGCAGAGAAGTGAGGCTGACCTTCATTTAACCAGGTTCCGAAAATTAGGAACTATAGGCAATGTTCTTCCTGTAACACCGTAGGTTTTTAATGATAGGCATGGCTGGACATCTGGAACCACAGCTGAAAAGTTCTCTGTGGAACAACAGTAAGAGACATAGCCCTGAACACAGGAATCAAGTCCATGAGCCTTAATATTACTATATGCTTCCATAGAAATATAAACTTAATAGAAAAAGATGTAGGGATTATAAAAGTACATTTTGGTGCATCCATATGATAGACTAGTATGGAAATAAAAATCATGATTTGGAAAAATACAGAATGGGGAAAATCTTAAAAAATGTTTAGTGGCCGCAATAGAATATAAAATTCTGCATACAGTATATTGTTAAAATTATATACATACATTAAAAATATTAGCAAGAAATATACCAAAATGTTAATGCTGTTATCTCTTGATGGCTTAATTGCAGGTTTAATGTTTTAATTGATGGTTTAATTTCCTCATCATACTTTGTTTTCTTCTCTATACTCTTTAAATTCCTAAAGTGAGTAAGTAGGGCATACCATAGAGAACCCATCCATCCGAGGAACAAACATGGCCTTGTCTAGTGCCAGAGATGAGATTCAGAAAGAACACAAATAGGCAGACCTCTCAGAACCATGGCAAAGTTAGAGAATCTATTTGGTTTCAAAAGTCAAAGAGTCTGGAAGTTAGATAATTGATATCACAAAGAGAGAAAATAGCTGAATCTCAGGTGGACAAGTACCCTCTGATGTTTATTTCATCTTCCTCATTTCATGTAGTCAGACAGGCACCTGTGTAATTATATCAAAAGAGGTAGTGTTTCTCATAGGGGCTAAGACAGAAGGAAATTTCTTTTAAGATGTCACCAAGGGCAGCCCCAGTGGCTCAGCAGTTTAACGCCACCTTCAGCCTAGGGCATGATCCTGGAATCCCGGGCTGAGTCCGGTGTTGGGCTCCCTGCATGGAACCTGCTTTTCCCTCTGCCTGTGTCTCTGCCTCTCTCTTTCTGTTTTTCATGAATAAATAAGTAAAATCTTTAAAAAAAATATATGTGTCACCAAGAATCATACTTCCCCAAAATACCATTATATACTAGCATTATTCAAAATAGCATTATATTTTCACTTATTTCATTGTCCTATTACATCATCATTGTTCCTGGAAATCACTGAAGTAATGTATTGACATAGTGAAAACATTTAGTATTTGTAATCATGCCATTTTCCTTTATGAGAAAGCATTTCTACTTACAAATATTTTGTTCCTTTTTGGAATATAAGATATGTACCCCAGATCTGTGGTCCTATTTCAGATTTTACACCAGGGATCAGCAAACTATGGTCCCAGGGTAAAATTGCTCACTGTAAATAAAGGTATATCAGAACACAGCGACACCCATTTATTTTTGTATTCCTTATGCCTGTTTTTGTGCTATGGTAAGAGAGTTGAGTAGTCAACACAGAAGCCTTATAACCTGCAAAACCTGATATAGTCATTACCTGTCCTTTTATAGAAAAATTTTGCCTTTCCCTGTGCTATATCATTTTAAAATGCCATACACTTTTTTAAAAGTTGTTATTGCTGTTTAATAATAAATTACTCATTCCTTTGTCTGAACATAGATGATTACTATGTGAGATAACTGTACATATTTATTAACTAATTGTTATTAGGTTACCAGCAAGCAAGTTCATCATACAAGATTAAGATGGCTGAGGTTGGAGGATTGGCAAAAACAATGGTCCAGTCGTTGGGCTTACTTGAAAATCAACTTGTTGAGAAACTTTGGGTACTTAAAGCTCTGCAACATCTCTCAACTTCTGGTTTGTATATCATTAAATTTAAATACTTCATTCTCAACTATTTTTGTTTCCATCCAACAGTCAAGACTATACAACATAAATAACTTTTAAATTTATTTTCAGAAGTTAATTGCACGTTAATGATGAAAGCACAAGCAGCCAATGGAATCTGTGCTCACCTCAATGACCCAGATCCGTCTGGACAGCTTCTGTTTCGTTCATCAGAAATACTTTGGAATTTATTGGAAAAATCTTCAAAAGAAGAAATCATACAACAGCTTAGTAATTTGGAATGTTTGCTGTAAGTGGTTAGATGGGAATGTCTTTTAACCTTAAAATGATAGCCAGTAACATAACTAACATCTTTGTTTGAATTTGTGTTCAATTAGGCTTTTGAATCATGTAATGACTATATTTCAGGACATAATTTTTATGCTGCAGTATAAATGCATCTGTGCAATAGCAAGACATCTTTTTTCTATTTGAAAAGCTTTTAAAGTAGCTTGTTAACAAAACTAAATTATGTATTTAAATAAGTATAAAATAAATTAGACATTTAAAAGAACTATTTCATTTTTCCATTCAATAAACCTATTTTTAAGTACTTAATCTCTTCCAGATATTGCAATAAGCATTCCAATAAAATATAAGCAAGCCTTTAGGTTACTTATTCATTTTTCATCAAATAATTATTGTCTACTCTATGCCAACTTCAGAACTAGGCCTTAGAAATACAAATGAAACAATGCAGACATGGTCTCTGCTTTCATGGAATTTGCATCATGTTAGGAGATGGACAAGTAAACAGGCTGTGAAAGACTATCACAGGTGCTACATGTTCTCTAGAAGAGTGATTCAGCACAAAAACCCAGCTGATTTAAACCATATAGGACACTTATGGACTTATATAACTACAAAGTCAAGGATAAAACTGGTTTCATGTGCAGTTGTATTCAAGGTACAGCAAATAACAGGATGTGGGTCTTCATTATCCCTGTCAGTCTTCTACTGTGTTGGCTTTATTCTCAAGTTCCACATGGTAATACCTCAGAAGTTTAGGTTCAAATCATCACAACCCCAAATCAAGCTGAAGAGAAGACTTGCTCTTCTGAAAGGTCAAAGAAAATTCTTCGAATTGAGTCCGTGTTGGTCCTGAATGGTCTGAGTTGGCCATATGCCATTCCAGAATGAATTACCAGTGACAGAGAAATGCTCTGGCTAAAAGGAAGCTAAAAGCGTCTCCACAACACCAAACACAGGGAAAAAAATAAATGCGTAAATAAAAATAAGGGTACTGTTATCATAAGAAGGGCAAGTGAGGGGCACCTTGCTGGCTCAGTCGGTAGAACATGTGACTTTTGATCTCGGGGTTGTGAGTTCAAGCTCCCCCCCCCCATTGGATGTAGAGATTAAAAAAGAAGAAGGGCAAGTGAGTGCTAGAAAGCAAAGCAACAAATGCCCATTTTACAGGGAACCTGACCCAGACTTGGAGAGTTAATAAGTACGTCCTAATGAACCCTAGTTTGGTATGTGAATGATAAATATGAACTGGCAACACAGAAGAGTTTTGCATTCAGAGAACATCCTAGACAGGGAACAGAAGTAAAAACAGAACTTAGAAAAAAAAAACTGTTAGAAATTTGATATATTAACATCAGAAAATAGAATAGTGAGAGATGAAGCTAACAATGTTAGCAGGGACCGTAACATGAAAAGCTTGATAAGCCCTGGTAAGAAAGTAGGGCTTTTTAATCCTAAGAACAAAAAAAAAGCTTTTAAGTAATTAAAAATGGAAAATGACATGAATGAACTTTATTTTAGAGCAGTCACTATGCCCACCATGTATAGATTTGGATTGATGGATTCTTATCTGATGCAGATTTGAATCCTACGTAGAGGCAGATTTGGAAATGCAGTAAAGATTAGAAATACTTTGAAATGAATAGTATAATATAAAAAAGGGAGATTTTGTTGATAGACACTTAAGTAGCATTTGCATGGAAATATGATTTTAAAGATCTGATTTTACTTTCTAGGGCTTTGAAGGAAGTATTTAAAAATCTGTTTATGAGAGGTTTTAGTCATTATGATCGTCAGCTTAGAAATGACATATTAGTAATCACAACAATCATAGCTCAAAATCCTGGAGCACCAATGATTGTAAGTATGAGTCAAATTGAATTAATTTTAATTGTGGAAATAGTTGGTATGGGGGAAGGAGTCCTAAACTATGTTGTAATATTTCTGAACTTCATTGTGATACCAAGTTATGGTGTAATGTCTCTATGTTACCAGTAGTTCTGGCAGTTCTTTGCAACCTTTTGGAAACTTGAGATTCTAATCATAGTTTATGATTTACCTACGTATTTACCATTTATGATGCATTTCTTTCCTTACTGACGATACGAGTTTATACCTGGCATTTCTCTTTCACCTAAAGAATTTCCTTTACTATTTCTTATGGTGCAGATATACTGGCAGCAAATTGTCTTAGTTTCTTTCATCTGAAAATATCTTTAAAGCAGATTAATTATTGACATCTGTGTTCACAGAATGCAGAATTCTGAGTTGAATTAAAAGTTGATCTTTTAGCATTTTGATCTTTTAGCATCGTTCCAATGTCTTCTTGCCTACAGTGTTTCTGATAAGAAGTATTTCTTATTTCAAGTTGTTTCCCCATGGACAAAGTATCACTTTGCTTTCTGACTGGTTTTCAAGATTCTCAGTCTACTTTTGATTTTCAGCAGTTTTACTATGATGTGCCAAGATGTGATTTTTCTTTGTATTTATTCTGCTTGAGGTTCATTCATAGAGCTTCCTGAGTATGTAAATTGACTAAATTTAGAGACTTTTTGGTCATTATTCTTCAAGTATTTTTTCAGCCCCATTCTTTCTCTCTCTCCTCTTCTGTAATTCAGATTACATGTATGCTTGTCGTGAGGCTCCGTTCACTTTTTTCAATCATCTTTCTCTCTATTCTCCAGGTTGATCATTTATATTGGTCTATGTATCTAAATTCATTGACTTTTTTTTTCCCCTGTCATCTTCATTCTGTTCTTAATCTCATCCAGTGCATTTTTATTTCAGATATTGTCATTTTTAGTTTTTGAATTTTTGTTTCCTTTTTATAACATTCCTATTTCTCTGCTGAAAGTTCCTGTCTCTTTCTGTTTATTATGAACATCTTTACTGTGGGTTCTGGTGTACTCTGAAAAGTACATATTCTTTTGTATTAATAGCATTTTGTGTGGCTACTCATCCCTGTGGTGAATGGCAGGTCAAATCCCAGTTCATTTCTTTTAGCCTTACCCGGGATGCTGGAGAGTCCCCTGCCCTGGCATAATTCAGGCACTAGTCAGAGACTTGGGAGTTTATACACAGAAGTTGAAGTTCCCCTTCTGTGGCTCTCTCCTTTCTGGGATTTCTCCCTTCAGTAGCAATAGTTGCCCAGAGATTACCTCTGCCCTCTGAGTGTTCAAACCACTAAGATAACAGCTTTACCCTGAGTTGTAGCATCCACACAAAGTGTGGACTAGGACCTGGCCTCAGCCTAAAAGCCATTTTTAAAAAAGGGAAACTCAGGCAGTGCCATCTCCTTCAAAGTTCTGACTCCTTTCTAGTATCTGCTTTGTTTGAGTCATAAAACAGTTGTTTTTATATTTTGCTCAGAGTTTATAATTGTTACTTGCAGGCAGGTTTCTTATAGGAGCTACTCAGTCATCCCAGAAGCTCAGCCTCCCCATATTTTATAATGTAAAAATCACTGAATGATTGACATCTCCGAAGAGAGATCTTTGGCTATGATATTCACATATCAGCCAAAAAACTTTCTAAGTTGAATTCAAAGGAAATTTGTGAATGAAGGCCTCAACCCCATATCAGTGGTCATCAAATCATCCCAATAAAGAACAATCATAGAATTTATAATGTGTAAATAGGGCAACAATCCTATCTAGCTTTCTAGTTAAGGCTGCAATTTGTGGGTAGACCTGTATGTTTCTCTGGAAGCCCCTGGTTAGTTAATAAATTTTCATTAGCATCCTTGCAAACATTCAGGTGAATTTTAGTAGTCAAATAACATCTTCACATTTAAAGAAACCATATGGATTCTAAAGCATAGTAATGTAACACTGTAAGCTCAAAAGCCTAGGCATTTGCCCCTCTAAATTCAAATAGGATATTTCTGTCAAGAATGAGTTCCCTCATGTTGAAATGTTTGCAATTCTGGTTATTCTTCAGGGCTTTTCATGTTAAGTAGGAACTGTTACCTCTTGACCAAAACTTTCACATTAATGAGAGTGGTTGGGGTCAAGTGAGAAGCAAGAGTGTTTAAGAAGAAATGCTGTCAAAAACAACTGTATCTTTCTCCCTTATTTTGCCACTTAAAGGAACAGATAATGAATTACATAAGTAATCTGTAGTCTTAATACATTTTGGGTTCTTACCAAATTTTAAACAGCATCTTCTAAAATATTCATAAGATAATGTAAAAATATTTCTTAGAACCAACAGAAGTTTATATTAAATAAATAACAAGTTTATCTGGCTATATGTTTCTTGCTTTCATCCCTTTCTATTATTAGTACTTTATGAATTCAAATGAATAACAAGGGGAATCTGAAAAAGGTAAATATTAGGTATATATAGGCATCTGTAATTTCTATCTAATTAAATCATCCTTCTGTGTATTTATATTAGGAATGTGGCTTTACCAGGGATTTGATTCTATTTGCAACCTTCAATGAAGGTAAAAACCATAAAACTTTCAACCTATGATTATCTTGATGAGTTTTATACATTATTTTAGCATTTATTTTCTTTTTCCCCCCCTCACAGTTAAAAGTCAAAATCCTTTGGTAAAAGGTCTTAAGTTTTCTAATTCCTATGAAGATTTTGAGTTGAAGAAATTGCTTTTCAATATAATTGTGATCTTATGTAAAGATCTACCTACTATACAGGTAAAAAAAATAACCAAAATAAAAGCTAAAGTCTCACTTTGTTTTGTTTTTAACTTTATTTTTTTTTTTTAAGATTTCATTTATTTATTCATGAGAGACACAGAGAAAGAGAGAGAGAGGCAGAGACACAGGCAGAGGGAGAAGCAGGCTCCATGCCGGGATCCTGATGTGGGACTAGATCCCGGAACTCCAGGATCACATCCCCCGCTGAAGGCAGGCGCTAAACCACTGAGCCACCAGGGCTGCCCAAGTGTCTCACTTTGTAATATAACTTTAAAAGTCATGACTGCAAATCTTTCATCAACTCCTATGTTTACCAGAGAATATAACTTATTGGCCAGAATGTTACCCTAAATTTTTTTTGCTTATCTGGTTAATTAACAGTGAATTTACCGAAATTTAAACCACATAAACCAAATAAAAGCAGGAGAGCCTTAGAGATTTATGTGTTTAGATCTCCTGAATAAGAAAATTTAAAATGAAAGAAAATCCATACAGGGCCATCCAGCCTAATAGTCTACCTCTGACCAGGTTGTGGTTAAGGCTTTAGTCAGGCCAAATGAAATGTCATTTTCCAGAACTGTGATTCTGAATAGAATTGCTGTTTCATTTCTGTAAATTGCAGATATCTTAGTTTCAGAATGAGTAACAGCTACCTCATGGAATTATGAGGGCTAAAATAGCTCAGAATTTTTTGGTAATATCATTTTGAGGAGTACACATACATATATACATGTTAAAACATGCTCAGGGAAAGAAAAATTGTCTTTACAATGATAACATTATTTACATCAAAAATACGTACCTTGGGCAGCCCCGGGTGGCTCAGCAGTTTAGCACCACCTTCAGCCCAGGGCATGATCCTGGAGACCCAGGATCGAGTCCCACGTCGGGCTCCCTGCATGGAGCCTGCTCTCCCTCTGCCTGTGTCTCTGCCTCTCTCTCTCTCTCTCTTTCTCATGAATAAATAAATAAAATATTTTTTAAAAAATATGTACCTATAGAACCTAAATGTATTTTATGCTAGATATCACTCCTTGAAATGCCAGATATCACCCCTTGAAATATGTTTTTATCAGAACAGTGGAGCATTATATAACTATTAAAATGATAGCTATGGAAACAAAATGTACACTACAGTCTATAAACCAGTTTTAGTCGACAACAGAGTCAAATGGCATAAAGACTATGGTGAGCTTCTTAAAGCACTATGTAAGCAGTAGAATCAATTGATTTTTTTTTATGTCAAATGTTTTTTGCCCAATAATAGTAGTGATAATATGTGTACTACTTGTAGAATATTTGTATAATTTCTGTTGCAAGTGCTTAAAAATTAGCCATAGTCATTATTTTGGATAAAATTGATTTTTTTTTTGTAGTATACAATAGAGTCTGTGAAGAATTTTTTTTCAAAAAATGAAGGGAAGAGAGAAATGCCAGCAGTTTATTTGCTCCAAATTTTCTGTTTTTGTGGTTTGATCATAAGCAGGAGCTAGATTACATATATAAGCAGCATAGACAAAAAAATTAACACTCATTTATATTATTGTCATTTGGAAAGTGCATATCCTAGAAAGGGGGTCATAGCCAACTGGTTGTTTTTTGTTTTTGTTTTGTTTTAGTTTTGGTACTTAATGTAGGGATCTTTAGGAAGGAATATTTTTTAAATGAACATAATAAGACATTACATTGGAAATCATTAAATATTCTTAGATTAAATAAAATTGTTTTAATTAGGTTTCTAACAAAGTACTTTTTGCCCTTTCTCATAGCTATTAATTGATGGCAAAGTTATTTTGGCTTTGTTTACCTATGTTAAAAAGCCTGAGAAACACAAAATAATTGAATGGTCTGCAGCACAGTATGAAGAATTACAACTGCATGCAATTGCCACTTTGTCATCAGTGGCTCCTTTATTAACAGAAGAATATATGCTGTGTCAGGGAAATGCTCGAGTCCTTGCATTTCTAGAATGGTGTGAGAGTGAAGGTGAGTCACACCTGTCAAAATTCTAGTCAAATGCTCTACCACTGAGCTATCCCCGCAAAGACAAAGGCTCAACCACTGAACCACTCAGGTGCCCATCAAAATTGTAATTTATATATTTCAACTGAACTCTCAATATATGCATAGAATAATAAATAAAATTAAGCAAAAAATAAAAAAAAACTAGAGATCTGGTTTCCTATGATTTTCAAGTATTTACATGTTGCTTTTCAGGAAAAAAAAATCTGAGATTTCCTTTAAAGGCAGATACATTGGTAAATATCATAACTAGAGTTGAGGCATACCTCTCAGTAAAAAAAGTTCATTCATAAAACCTGATTTAAATTTTTGTATCATTAGGCTTATCCAACAATTATACTAAGTCCTGGAAATATTTTTAACTATGCATTTAGCAGATATTTGTTGATGTGTAGTAGGTACTAGATATTGTGTTAGTACATTTATATTCAAAATAAATAAAATCCCTACCTTCATGGAGCTTAAAATCCCCAGCCAGAAGTAATGACATGTAGTCTATGTAAAGACATGTAGTCTACCAAATTAGCAGACTACCAATTTGTACAAATATTTTATTTCAATTTTCATCATTCTTAGGAAATAAGATGGTTTTTTTTTTTTTAATGTTTATAAGGGAGACACTGCAATCTTTTCTGGTAGTAATTTTGCTTTGGAAATAATTTTGTACGATACACTTTCAGTAGATCAAGAAAATCATATCCATGGGGAAGGAAAAAAATTATAGCTGATTTCCTTTATTGTTTAGTTTCTAATATGTGGAGTTAACTAAATTTTTCTTATTAAACTGCTGTGCATTAAATAAAACAATTCTTCCATCTATCCTTAATATCATTTATGTTTACAAAAGACTATAAAGTAAAAGAGGAAAATGCTGCCTAACATGAGGAAGTCTGATAGCTAACAGTTATTGAGTACTTACTGTGATAGGCCTTAAACATCTTAAATTATTAACTCATTTAGTCCTCATAACAAATCTAGGGGTCGAAGGTACTATTACTGTCTCTGTTGTTCAGACGGGTAGAACTCCATCAAAAAAGTTAAATAACATGTTCTTGGTCACACAGGAAGTGTCAGATCCAGGATTGAGTACAGGCAGCCTAGCCCCAGAACCTACATTTTTAACTCATACACAATACTCAGAACAGTATTTTTGTAACTTTTCTTTTTTAGCTTTAAATATAAGGCTTCTTAAAAGAACCTTTTTAAAAAAGGCATATTATGTATTGTAAAGAAAGGAGAACTCGCTCTGCTGTTTATCAAGACCTACCATAAGCTATATAATAATTTAAACTGTATGGTATAAGACAAGGAATAGACCAATGAAATAGAACATATGGGAAGTTGGCATTAACAGAGATAATATTGCTTTCTTTTTTTTTTAATTTTTTATTGGAGTTCAGTTTCCCAACATTTAGCATAACACCCAGTGCTCATCCTGCCAAGTGCCCCCCTCAGTGCCCAACACCCAGTCACCCCAACCCTCCACCCACCTCCCCTTCCACTACCCCTTGTTTGTTTCCCAGTTAGGTGTCTCTCATGTCACCCTCACTGATATTTTCACTCATCCTCTCTCCTTTCCCTTTATTCCCTTTCACTAATTTTGATTATATTGCTTTCAATGAAAATAAAAATAAGGTTCTTTCAACTTGTTAAAAAAAATCAAGTGCAAAATGAATTAAACCTCTAAATATGAAAAGTTAAGCTGTAAAAATCTTAGAAGAAAACAGGAAAATATCTTTATGATAAAAAGACTTAACTTTTTTTAAAGATTTTATTTATTTATTCATGAGATACACACAAGAGAGTCAGAGACACAGGCAGAGGGAGAAGCAGGCTCCCTGTGGGGAGCCCAAAGCAGGACTCAATCCCAGGACCCTGGAGCACACCCTGAGCCTAAGGCAGATGCTCAACCACTGAGCCACCTAGGGTTCCCAGGAAAAGACTTTTAATAAAGACTAGAAGAGCTTAAGGTATACAGAAGATTAATACATTTAATAATGTAAAATTTAGAAATGCCTGTATGACTAAATCTGAATAAAATAGCAATCTACAAATCAAGAGAATACATTTCTGTCCCTGTGACTAAAGGATTAGGATCCAGGCTCATAAAGAATTCAAAAAGAAAATAACCCCACAAATAAGAAGACAAAGAATAGGGACTGTCAAGTTACAGACAAAATCTCAAATTAAAAAAAAAAATTAAAAGATGTTCAACCTTATTGGTAATCAGAGAAATGCAAATTAAGATAACAACTGTCATTTCCCATGTAACAGACTGAATAGGATATCCTTGACTTTCAACTTAGAATTGACTATATTAAATGGGAAATGAATGTAATTTCCCATTTAACAGACTGGGAAAAAATCTATTAGTCTTGTACATTCTATCCATATAACCACTTTGGGAAGCAATTTAAGGACTTTAGTAAAATTCAGTGTGAGAGGGGCACCTGGGTGACTCAGCCAGTTGAGTGTCTGCCTTAAGCTCAGGTCATGATCCTGGGGTCCTGGGATCAAGACATGCATCCAGGCTCCCTGCTCAGGGGGGAACCTGCTTCTCCCTCTCCCTTTTCCTGCCACTCCCACTGCTTGTGCTCGTTCACGGTGTTAAATAAATAAAATCTTAAAAAAAAAAAATTCAGTGTGAGTGTACCTTATATGATTCTGGTATCACATGGGCAAAACCTTTCTCAGTGGGAATAAGAAGATATAAACCAGAATGTTCATTGTACCAGAATGTTCACTGTAGCAGTTTGTACTAGTGAATGGATAAACTGTGATTTATTTATAAAACGATTACTCAGGGGCACCTTAGCGGCTCAGTCTGTTAAGCATCTGACTCTTGCTTTCAGCTCAGGTCATGATCTTATTAGGATTGTAAAATTGAGCCCCACATCAGGCTCTGTGCTGGGCATGAAGCCTACTTCATGAAGCCTAAGATTCTCTCTCTCTCTCTCTCCCTCTCCCTCTGCTCCCTGCCCTCTAAAACAAACAAAATGAATGCTGAAAGTAATTAAATGATTTAGATTTGCTTGTGACAATGTAAATACTTTAAAAAACAGAGTGTTGAATAACAGTAGCAAGTTACAAAAGATACACTATGATACATTTGAGTAAAATTTTAAAGCATATTCCTATTCTGGGAATAGAAGAAGGGGAAAGGATAATATTTACTCTTCTAAAAAAAAGCAAATATGACAAAATTTTAGCATCTGTTTAAACTTAAGGGTAGATACATAAGGTATCTGATTTATTTTATTTGAAATGCTTTATATTTTAAATTTTGTAATGTAAATTGTTAAATTGTTAATATTTCTCCACAGATCCCTTCTTTAGTCATGGTAATAGTTTTCATGGTACAGGTGGCCGTGGCAACAAGTTTGCCCAGATGCGTTATAGTTTAAGACTCTTGAGAGCCATGGTCTACCTTGAGGATGAGACTATAAACAATGATCTTTGTGAAAAAGGAACAATTCAGCAACTGATAGGTAAAACATGTTTGTGTACTTATGAAAGTAGAATATTTATAAATTAGAGGTTTTATTTTAAATGTTTTTTACAAATTTATTGTCTTTTTAGCTCAGAAACACCTGAATATTCTCTTGATTTTTGTTTCATATCATTGCTATAAATCAGTTTGTCTTTACTAAAACATCATGATCGCTCATTCTATAAACATCTCTTTACTCACTTGACATAAAGTTCATTTGGGATTACCTTTTTTTTTAAAACGGGCTATTACCTTCATTTTTCTTATAAGATCACCCCTTTTTTGGCCAGGCTTTTGAAGTCATTTAAAAGAGGATAACATCACATTTTCTGATGCATCTGACATACCAGAACATGGTATGTGCTGGTATATACAGAAATGTACACAGAAGATTCTTTTCTGTTATATTATAGCAGGATATCCTTGATTTTCAACTTAGAATTGACTATATTGAATAACTTTATCCCCAAAATATATACATGTGAGCTTGGAATAAAATTCAGAAGCCCTAAACAAAAGCTTTATAGTTTTTATTAACTAAAAAATAAGTAGTCTTCTGGCCCTAACCTTCCTGACTTTGAAAAGCTCTATTTTGGTCATAATCAAATTCAGTGATTGCCTCAGGAGTAACATATAATTTACTGGATGTCAATTAATTATAAACACCTACTCAAAAGCTCTTCTACATGTTAAAGTACTTTTTCATCATTAGTGGAGTGGAGTGGTCCCCTTTAATAGGATGAGCACTGGGTGTTATACTATATGTTGGCACACTGAATTTAAATAAAGTATATTTAATTTTTTAATTAAAAAATATTAAAATAATGGTTCCCTTTAAAATAAGGATATTGAAAAGGGTACTGAGCAAAAACATTTTCTTGATGAGTTTACTCAGGATAACCAAACCTGTAGATTTTATCACTTCCATGCATACATACTCCATTGTACAGAATTCAGTGTTAAGGTTCCAACCTAACTGGATGGAGTCCAGAAAATACAATATTTCATATGTCCAGGTAAGAGTCCAGGTAGGAGGTGGGGTAGAGAAAAGGGAAAACAAATACAGAAGGATTCTCTTCTTCTAGGGATTTTTTCCCTTTAACTGGAAAGAATCTGCTCTTTATCACGTGAGTTCTTAGAGGCAGTGGCCTCCTGTCACTTACACAATCTAACAGAAGACTTAACAAACAGTTTGCTCAACAAATAGTAAATGCACTGTAAATGCAAATGTTTATAATACCCTTCGTGCCATGGGGGCACTGGGATCACAAACATGTATACAACAGGACACTGTGGACCTTGCCTTTGATGAGGACAAAAAAAGATGTATATCAAAGAAAGATAGCATGTGTTACCCTACACCATTAGTAAGGCCTCTAATGAGTAATACAGAGAGTAAATACCACAGAAACTAAGAGTTTTCAGCAGTTTTTAAGGCTAGGTAATTTTGACAATTACCTTTATTGAGCTTGGATGTGAGAGTAAAGCTAGTTTTGAGAGGAAAAGAGGAGATGGTCTTTAAAGCAAGGGAACAGCATAAGCAGACACATCGTGTTAAAATATGTATAATAATGTGTTCAGAGCTAGCTTAACTGAAGTCTATTTATGAAGACATGTATCATCTATACTTCAATTTAAAAATAGTTTAAAATAGAAATTGGAAAAATGTTTTATGAAAACAAGTAATATGAGATATAATATGTCTAGTCAGGAGCCAAGCTAGAAAGTTTTGAACAGCATGCTCTTTAGACATGCAGAGCCAATAGCGGTTTTGATCAAGGAAGTTATGTATATAGTACTTTTTTAGAAAAAGGAATCCAAAAGAAATTTATCAGATGACTTAGAATAGAACAAGGAGAGAGTAAAGGCAGCTAAAGGATAATGAAATATGAAGGAAATAATTCAATATCAACATAACGTGTTACAGACAACAGAGAAAATGACATGCCTGCACCATGCTCGACTAGTCCCACTAGGGACTGATGTTGCCCCTGTCATTCATCCTAACAGGACCAAGGATCATCCCTTTAGGGCCAGCTATGGAAATAAGTTGTGATTTCCGTGACTCTCTTACTTTGGAACAGAAGTCCACCCCTTCCTGCTAATGTCAATGACCCCTTTAGCAGAGAAGCGATGACTTTTGTTCCTCGTTTTAAAGCTTAAAGAAAAATTCCTTTTTGAAGCAAAATTTTATTGTGACTGTCATTCCATCAGTGTAATTGGCTCTTTTCCAGTCTAATTTTTTATTAGAAGCTAGGGAGAGATTTCAAAGGACATGGGAATACTGCTACCTAAAGTTATTGAAGACACCTCCAGGTAGACATAAGGAGAGGATGCAGAAAGAAGTAACAGGAAGAGAACACATACTTAGAGAGGTCTTCCACCTTTGCCTAAAATTGACCATTAACCATGAGGAGATGAGAAAGCTGTGATCAGGTATTTAAGTCATATATTTACAATGGCACTCATCTCTGCCTCATGACACTCTGCATATTTCTATAAATAGTTTTGTTTGCTGGGCAGAGTATCAGGTTATAGGGCATCTTGTAATAACACTCCATTAGTTCTGTACTAGAAATGCTATATAAATATATGGGGCTACTGATTGTATTCAGAGCTCAAAGAATCCATTTATCACCTTCTGTCTACATCCTCTACTACTGATTGTATTCAGAGCTCAAAGAATCCATTTATCACCTTCTGTCTACATCCTCTACATAACTATGCAATTAAAATAGCCCCTTTTAAAATAGTTTCTCTAACTGAAATTTTATAAGAAGGGATTTCTTTTTTTTTTAAAGAAGGGATTCCAAAACAGTAATTGATCAAAATAAAAATTACAATGTCCACTAAGTTTACATTCTTTCAATTTTTTCACACCAGGAGTTTTTAAAAATACAATAAGCCAGTCTGATGACAAAGAAGAAGTCATTGTTTTGGAAATTCAATCTGATATATTACTTATTTTATCCAGTCTTTGTGAACATCATATTCCTAGGAAGGTATGTATGCCCGTGAATCAAAGTTTTTTTCAGATCTCCCAATTACCTAACATGATGAACTCTTTCTTGGTGTCCATAATGTTGCTGTTTCTTAATCTTGTGAGGATTTAATATTCTTTTTTATAAGAAGAATATAATTATATAAAGTATATATATCTTAAGTATATATTATGATAGGTTCTGATAAATATATACAAATATATACACACATTTAACCAATATCTCAATTAAAAGTCTATTGTGGGGCAACTGGGTGGCTCAGTGGTTAAGCATCTGCCTTTGGCTCAGATCGTGATCCCGGGGTCCTGGGATTGAGTCCTGCATCAGGCTCCCTCTGCCTATGGGACTGCTTCTGCCTTTGCCTATGTCTCTGCCTCTCTCTCTGTGTGTCTCTCATGAATAAATAAATCTTTAAAAACCAATCAATCAACCAACCAATCAATCAGACTATTGTTATTCCATATGAAATTCTTTTATGCCCCTTAGCAGCCATCCCCCTACTTACTTTCAGGTAACCACTATCCTGATTTCTATCCCCATAAGTTAGTATTGCCTATTCTTTTACTTTATTTGAATCATATCTAAGTGTGATTTATTCTTTTATATCTGGTCCTGTCATCATCATATTCCTGAAATATATCCACATTTTTGCAGGAATGAATCAGTAATTCATTCCTTTTTATTGATTGCCAAGTAGTATTTCATTGTTTTAATATACCCACAATTTTTCTCCGTTTCCCTATTAATAAACACAGATTGTTTCCACTTGGGACTATTATGTATAAACCTTCAGTGAACATTTTTATAGTAGTGTTTCTGTGGACATAATGCTTTCATTTCTCCTAGATAAATACCTGGAAGTGCAATTAATGTTAAATAAGTAGTATATGCTTTTAAAAAACTGGCAACCCATTCTTCCTAAGTGGATAAAAGATTATAAATGTTGTTTTGAGTTTAAATTGCGTTAAGGATGATGGATATTAAAGAGGGCACTTGTGATGAGCACATGAATCACTAAATTCTACACCTGAAACTAATATTACAGTGTATGTTAACTGGAATTTAAGTAAAAACTTGAAGGAAAAAATTGGGTTCATACCTAGAACTAAAAGTTAGAAAAAGAGTTTAATTCCCTTTGGTCTTTTTTAACTCTGTAACAAGCTCTGAATCTCCATCCAAGATTGTTAATTTAAATAGCAAAAGGCAGAACTGCAAAGATAAACATTTTAAATCATGAAGTTTCCAATAGAGAATTTTAGCGAGAGGCAACAAGAACAGTAAATGCATACCTCGCTCTCAACTTTGATGCAACTTTTCCTTATATTCTGTCCTCCTGTGCCTATGTTCTTCTGAAAGAATAGTCATAGTCCTGCTTTACTGGGTACCAGAGCTGAACAAAACAGTGAGGAAGGAAATTGGTAAGTGACAAATATTAACCAGTAATAACTTCATATAAATTATTAGGGGTTTTAACCACCATTTATGTGTTTATTTCTCCTCTTGGTAATATTTTAAAAGTCTTCCACAATAGAATTTTAGCCTCCATTTCGCTTTTGCTAGCTAGTATTCACCTGACAGGATAGTGGACTGCATTTACTGATAATGTAGAAGAAAATCATGGGGTAAGCTTACGGATTTTTTTTTTAAAGAGAATAAACAAAAAATATAAAGGAACATTAAGCTAGCATATTGATTGATGCTGTATCTTAAAATGATTAGCTTTATAGTACTTTGTCTTAAATTCCTGAAAGAAAGCAAATTCAAAAAAAATTGTATGAAACTAGCAATGTTGTTCTATTTATCTGGTAGAAAAAGTTTTAGGGGACAGGATGAAACAGGAAAGGGTGAGATTATTTATTTCAAAAATAATTTTAAATCCCTTAGGAAATGTTCGGAACTGAAGGAGTGGATATAATTCTCCATGTAATGAAAACAGACCCCACAAAGTTACAAAGTGGATTAGGCTATAATGTACTTCTTTTTAGTACATTGGACAGCATTTGGTGAGTATTATTGTCCCCAAGTTAGAACCACAAAACAAGGAAATTTCTTCTATGCTCTTTATTGGCTTAAAGTCTGATTTTTGTTTCTAATAGATTTAAGATTTCTAATTTTTTAAAACTGCACAAATTTGTATGAAATAAAGCCTAGAAATATTAAAACTGTAGATTGAGTAGTAATAAAAATTAATCCTAGACTGTATGATAGAGAAGAGAAAATTTGGGTGCTATAATTTCTTCATGGTGTTGGATTTAAATTAGTTGGAATGTATTTCTGTACCATAATTTAAGCTTCAGTAAAAGTTTGCTTAAAAAAATTTCTTCCCTCAAAACCATACCTGAAAGATAATTCTCCCAATACCTTTTTCAATAGTCTAGAAATGACACCTACCAGTGTCCTTTGGAAAGTAATCTTGTGCACAGCTCATTTATAAAACCATTCTTGTATCTAAACTTAAATCTTTGATTTTATGATTTGAATCCATTCCATTTTGGCCTGGTCTAGGAGAACACAAGCATCTACTTTTACTCATATAGTATTCTTATGCTTGAAAACTGTCAAATTCATTCATCTCCTCTTCAAAGAGTTGAAAACCAATTGATTACGTATTTCCTAAGCAATATTTTTTCCCATACTTTTTAGCATTCCTAAAGAGCAAAAAATAAATCATACATATATACATACACACATACCACTTTTCCTAACATTAATTTACAAAATTTCGTCTTGGAAAAAATTACTTGAGTTTCATATATCATTAACAACATATTTCTTTTGTCCTATTTGGGTGGGATTCATGAGAGCCACACTGCAACATATTTGGAGGGGGAAATAATGACTATAGACCTATATGGACCTAATAAGCATATGCAGAATATTTCCACTCAGTAGCAGTAGAATACATGTTCTTTTTAAGCTCTGTGGTTATTGTGATTTATATAAGAAATATATATTTGGTCCATTCCTAGTACAGAATTCCTAAAATTTTTGTCATTTCCTAATCAATAAGAGCAATGAGAACATCTTTTGTTATAGTATCTGGTCTTTAATTCCCAGTTCCTGTAATAGCTTCAAAGTAATAACTATGAAGGCAGTGTTTTTTATTACTCATAACAAGCCCCTTTCAATCACATCTGAGTTTATGTCAATGATGTAATTTTTAAAAAGATTTCATTTATTTATTAAAGAGACAGAGCATGAATGGGGAGAGGGACAAGCTGGGCAGGGAACCTGCTGTGGGGCTCCATCCCAAAACCCTGAGATCGTGATGTGAGCCAAAGTCAGGTGCTTAACCAAAAGGGCCACCCAGATGCCCCTAATGAGGTAATTTTTGAGCACCTAGATAACCACAGGATGTGATTTGTGACCACAGGACAACATGCAAGGTCACAAATAAGTCTTAACAAATTTAAGACTTAAATCATTCCAAATATCTTTTCTGACCACACTGGAAGAAAACTGGAAACCAATAACAAATAGAAATTAGGAAAACTCAGAAATACAGGGGAATTAACATACTCTTTAACTACCATTAGGTCAAAGACAAAAGCAAAAGGAAAATTAAAAATAAACTAAAGTGAAAGCACATAGGTATAAATATCTACATAAAAAAGAAGAATGGGGGTGCCTGGGTGGCTCAGTCACTTAAGCATTGAACTCTTGGTTTCAGCTCAGATCATGATCTCATAGGTCCTCCGATCAAGCCCTGTGTAGGGCTTCTTGTTTAGTGGGGAGTCTGCCTGAAGATCCTCTTCCTCTGCCCCTCCCCTGCAAATAAATAAATAAATCTAAAAAGAAAAAGATGACTCAAATAAACAACCTAACTTTAAATCTAAAGTAACTAGTAAATGAAGAACAAACTAAGCCCAAAGTTAGCAGAATAAAGGAAATAATAAAGATTAAAACAGGAATAATTAATATTTAATATTGTTTAAATGTCATACTAGCCAGAGTGATATATACCTTAATGTAAGCCCTATTAAATCCTAAAGATATACTTTTACATAAATAGAAAATACAATCCTAAGATTCATATAGAACAACTAGTCATCAAATGCAAACCAAAACCACAATGAGTTATCACCTTATACCTGATGGGATGGTTATCAAAAAAAAAAAAAAAAAAAAAGGAAAAAAAAAGATATGCATTGGTGAGGATGTGGAGAAGAGAATCTGTTGACATTGGTGGGACTGCAAACTGCAGCCACTATGGAAAACAGTATGGAAGTTCCTCAAAAAGAAAAAAATTTTTAAATAGAACCATCGTATGATCCAACAATCCCACTTCTGGGTATTTATCCAAAAGAATTGAAATCAGGATCTTGAAGAAATAGCTGCACTCCCATGTTCATTGCAGCATTATTCACAATAGCCAGGATATTGAAGCAACCCAAATGTCCATCAATAGATGAATGGATAAGGAAAAAAATATGGCATATACATGCAATAGAATATTACTCATCCTTGAAAAAAGAAGAAAATCCTACAATTTATAACAACATGGATGGACCTAGAAGACACTATACTAAGTGAAATGTCAGTCGCAGAAGACTATTGCTTATACATATTTCTCCTATATGAGGCATCTAAAACAGTCAAAAAATGTAGAAGTAGACAATAGTATATAAACAGCAGAATCCTTGTTAAATGAATAACTTCCTTTTTATTTAAGGTGCTGTATTTTAGGGTGTTATCCATCAGAGGATTACTTTCTTGAAAAGGAAGGCATTTTTCTCCTTTTGGACTTACTGGCAGTAAGTATGATTGTTAATAATTGTAAACAATTAAATATGTTTTTATTAACTCTTTCTAAAACTAAGTGCCACAGAACACTATTCTATAATTAAATATGCCCCCATATCACATTAAACTGTTTGTATTAAACAAAATCTCACCTGGAGATTCATATATTTTGCATTGGTATGGTAAAGGCTTTGGAAATTCCCCGTGAAGAAATCAGTTTACTTACGTCAGCACTCCCAAACACATAACAGCAGATAATTTGTTTTATAGGATTTCTCCCACCAATCTTCAAAGAAATAGTTTGTGAAATGCTAGACAATATCAAAACCCATAATCATTATTAATAACTTCTAACTTCTTCTCTTTGTATTAAAAGTTAAGGCCCACATTAAACAAAGGAGTAAAAATCAGCATTTTTAAAGAACTGAATAGTTTGTAGGCAATGTTAAGAATCTAGTGCGTCAAAGACCATTCTACAGAATGAGCAGGAATGAATACATTAAGTCAGTCAGAAAAGACAGTTGCCATCTAACACCAACAAAAAATGGCAAAGACCCTCAGTTATCCTCAAAGCAATTCCCTACTGGCCTCAATTCTACATAGATCCATGTCAAGATACTATGGGAGGAAAAGTATAATTTGGTTTCAATAAAACTTTGAGAGAGATTCTCACATACAGTTCTACCTATGTCACTGCATATAATTGCCACCATTCATGATTTTATTAACAGAATGATTTTATTTAGTAACAGAATAACCTACGTGGATTTAGCAAAGGTGCTCAAGTTATTTGTGTCCCTTTATCTCTCTGAAATAAAATTAGTTGGCAGGTAGGAGAGCAAACTCATTAGATAGAAAACATTACAAACAAAAAAATATATAATAATAATAGCCCACTTTGATAAACAGGAATTAATCATAACCAGAAACCCTTGGAAAGTTCAGGAAAATGGACATAATACAGAAGGATATATGTGTGGCTTTACTAAATGATATATAGCTCACCATGTTTCTCTGATGAGAGTATGCGCATGGTGATGTGTCAGGGGATTCCCAAAGTTACAGAATTAATTTGGCACAAATTCCTAGAATCTTGTTTTTACTTAAAGACTAGAAAGTGGGACTTATATTAAACATGTATATATTAAATAATTAAATTCTTTGTGAATATTTAAGGTTATATAAAAGACATAAAGACATTTCTCACTTGTGTTCACTCTCCTTCACCACTAGGATCTCTGATGGAAAGACATAAAACTGGTAGAAGAAGCCATATAACACAGTGGTTATGAGCATAGTCTGACTGAGGCTTCCAATACTTGTTAGCTGTGTAACTTGGACAAGTATTTAACATCTCTGTTATATGTTTCTTCATCTGTAGAACAGAGATAACAGTATCTATCCCATGCGCTCTTGGGAGAATTATATGAGTGCACATATGCACATACATACACACACACACATACAGTATTTGGAATAGTTCTTGACACATATTTTTGCCATGTAAATGTTTTATATTATTATTAATATAATTTTTAGATTGTGCCTAATGAAGATTGAACCAATCCAGTTACAGATTACAAATATTCTTTAATGAAGTTTTTATATCAACTCCAACCCTTGACATTTGCCTCTTTTTCCTGAAAGTGAAGTATGGGAATAAAAAAACTCGGTTGTGGATTCTGCTTAATACAGTCTGCTAAAAGGGGATCGCTAGGTGGCTCAGCGGTTTGGCGCTTGCCTTTGGCCCCGGGCATGATCCTGGAGTCCCGGGATCGAGTCCCACATGGGTCTCCAGGCGTGGAACCTGCCTCTCCCTCTGCCTCTGTCTCTGCCTCTCTCTCTCTCTCTTTCTATATCTATCATGAATAAATAAATAAAATCTTTGAGGAAAAAATACAATCTGCTAAAATGTTTATTCAGTATGCAATGATAATAATTGCTAATAATGTTAAATATTATTGAGAGCTTTCTATATGCCAGGCACTCATATAATTTATTATAAATAACTCACTAAAGCAGGTAATATTATCCGTCATTTTATAAAAGAGGAAAGTGATAATATTTGCAGTTTAAACAACAGGTTACATTTTTCCTTTGCTGTATTCTATTAGTGGTATACTAGGAGTTAATCAGCAAAAAATATTTCAGCCACAAATTACTGTGTGAAGACTACTACTCTGGATGGACTTTTCCATACCTAAATTTTGGTTTCCTGAAAACTAGTAGCAAAACAAAGGAAATATGCTAGATAATTTCTCTTAAATGCTTACTTTTCAAAATACAAAATTCCATCTCATTTTGATTTTTTTTCTTATGTGACTCCCACTTGCAGTTACCATCAGTTATTTTCTTAGTCACAACAAGGTTCTGGTTATGAGTCTTTACAAACCTTAATAAAGCATGTAAATTAGAAAGATCCTATAATTACAGCAAACTATGTATAGTACTGATTACTAACTCCACTTAAAATGAACATCTTCACTTATTTCTACAATTTCTCTTTTTTCTGAACTGAAACAAATCAATTACATTTTTGATCATTACATACATTTATGACTATATCAGAATTATATTGAATCTTTTTCTTTTTATTCTAATTCTTAATGTCTGAAACATACTTTTTAATAGGAGATTGTCCCAAATCATACTTAAGTAGAGTGTTAATTTTATAAGGCAGCCATTTAGAAGAAAATTACTGATTACTACAAGTGTTTCTTGGGGTCTTATTTGAAGATCATAGTTCTTAAAATTTATTGCAATTCTTTTTTTTTTCCTATTTCCTTGCAAAAGTTGAACCAAAAAAAATTCTGTAATCTAATACTTGGAATAATGGTTGAATTTTGTGATAATCCCAAAACTACGGCTCATGTCAATGCTTGGCGAGGGAAGAAGGACCAAACAGCTGCTAGTCTTTTAATTAAATTGTGGAGAAAGGAAGAAAAAGAACTGGGAGTAAAACGTGATAAACATGGGATGATCATTGGTAAGTGTACTTATAACTGTTAGTAGTAGCAGTTAGTTGCATATTTTTAATTGAGATATAATTGATTTATTACATTGCATTAGTTTTAAGTGTACAACATAATATTTAATAAATGTATATATTACAAAATGATTACCACAATAAGTTTAGTAGCATCCATTACCACACATAGTTACAAGTTTTTTCTCATAATTGAACTTTTAAGATCTATTCTCTTAGTAACTTTCAAATATACAATAAAGTATTGTTAACTATAGTTACCACTCTGTTCATTACATCCCCAGGACTTTTTTTTTTTCTTTTACATCCCCAGGACTTATTCATCGTTTACCCATTTTTTTTAAAAAAGAGAAGTTTAAAAAGATATTAAGGAAATATAAGGACTTTTACTCTTTTGTTTAAAGTTCTTTTCACAAGAATTTGTGGAACTTGCTATCATAAATTGAGTGAATGGAAGAAAACTAAATTAGTAGCAGGTTCATACTTTTATAGAATATCTTCAGGAAGTGGTTTAATTTATTGTTTAACTCAAAAAAAAAAAAGCAAAACAAAACCTAACAACATGTCCTAAAGAAGTTCCCTTGAGCTACTTGCTTTTATAAATAGATTCAGTAACATTTCACTTATCAATACAGTTTGGGATGTAAATAAAGTGCCTGAAAACAATTTTTATAGTATTTTGTATATTTATGTTTATTCATATTTATGCAGTTTACTTTTTATATAAAAGAAGCTGTTTTCTAAATAAAAATAAATCAAATGTTCCTAAAGTTTAATTACCAGCAATCTACAATGCTAGAGTACATTTTCTAAGCCTCTTAAGTTTCTTTTCAACTGCTAATATTGTTAATTTTTAAGTGAAAATACTTCCCCTTTAACTTCTGATGATTTCTATTTCAACCAATTTTTGAGTTTTGATCTGCAACATCGTAAGATCGTTTTTGTATTTATAGCATAATATAATCCAAAAGCAAAGGAGATTACATCATTGTTAAACTGGATCTCAAAATTAGAAAATTTATTTACATAAGACTTTCACTTTTTAAAAAGTTATTTTGTGAAATTTTCATATTTTATGTAAATCATAAAAGTAAAAGCTTTAAGTTTTGCCACAGAATGAGGAATAACTGATTACTAATGCTTTCAAAAGAATAATCATATACAATGCACTATTTTATTATTATAATATTTTTATATATTCTATGGACTAAAATTTCAAAATTAAATATTAATTTATTAATGTTTTTATCTGTCCTTTCTATGTTTTCATGGTATGCAATGATTAGATACAAAGAAACCTCTATTTACTAGTTTCCAAGAAGAGCAAAAAATCATGCCATTGCCTGCAAACTGCCCAACTCTTGCAGTTATGGATGTTGCTGAGAATATCAGAGCAAAAATTTATGCTGTGCTAGGCAAACTGGGTAAGAAGCTATTTGTCAAATTCTCAAGAGCCTCTGTTTTGCTGAGTTTTGCAAGTTGATTTTGCTTTGGAGTCTATTTTCAAACATGTTAATCAAAAGTCCCTTTATACAAATAAGTGCACATTCCATAGTTAACCAATGCCAGGCTATGCCCTTGATCAATTAAAATCAGAATTTCTGGGGGTGGGGTCCAGGCATCAGCATCTTTCAAAGCTCCCCCAGGGAGTTGCAGCCAGGATTAAAGGTGGTTAGTTTAGATTAGGCTTAGACACTAGAGTTCTGATACCTGAGTTTTTAAAGACCTTGCTTCTCCTCCCCTGCCTTTTTTTTGTCCTTGCTTCTTATTAAAGAAAAAAAGTAGTCAAACACTCTTCAGCTTCTGAAAGTACAATATCATTGTCTCACCATAGCACAGAAAAGATTCCTCTTCTAATGACTTGATTAGGATGACCTGGCAAAGGTTTCTTACAGGAGGAAGCCAGAAGTTCACAGAACTAAGTTTTTCATAATGAAGATGGAATAAAAACTAACTGTTGGCCTTAGTTTTTATGATAGATACATGCATTTTGGAATCACTTACTTTGTTACAGTAACTGTTTCTTTATAAACTTTTAGATTTTGAAAATTTACCTGGCCTATCTGCTGAAGATTTTGTCACTCTTTGTATCATACATAGATACCTTGATTTTAAAGTGAGTACCTTCTTAATAATCTTGTTATTACACTCTAATATGACAAAAAATCAATTGGGAAACAAAAGATCTATTCATAGTTGTAAGCAATCATCCATGTACTGTATAGTTTTTATTTTCCATTTTGCATCTGCTACTGTTCAAGAAACCTACAACTGATTGGTATTTTCCATAAGATATGATTTCACCCAACTATTAGTTTATAACAGAAGATGTATGTTACTGACAGAGCTATTCAGAAGCTTAAAAAAATTCTTAAAATATAATTTTTTCTCTTTAGAGAGCATTAGGAACTATATTTAAATGAATTATTGCTTGTTAAAATAAATTAACATTTTTAAAAATTATTAACATTTATTAAAGATTTTATCACTAATTTATATGATGATCAAATATGTTAAAGAATATTGGGTTTCTCACCCCAATGGTTATATTTTTATTAACAAATAAATACTTTTTAAGTTTCAGCAAAGTCTTTTTAAGTACATTCTCTTCTACTAATATTAGTACTATGTATTCGAATGTTATAAATGAATACACCTCTACTGTCAAATGAAAACAAAGCTCAACTTCATCCCAATCCTAGATATATACATTTTTCTATAAATATAAGCATACCGAAGTACATTAATTTCCAGACAACCTAGAATATGAGATGGAGCTGTCAGTTTGATGATACCATGGAATTAAGAGCTTGAGATTCAGTTACTATCTTAGTGAGAGGATAAGGGGCAGGACAGGGCTCTAGAGTCCCAGTTATCCCCATGTTAATTGGCCTACAAGTTCAGCTTAACCTAGCTTTTATTTATTTATTTTTTAAAAGCAGTTCATAATCTTTTCTTTATTTTTTAAAAAATGTTTTAAAGTAGGCTTCATTCTCAGTGTGGGGCTAGAATTCACAACCCCAAGATCAAGAGTCCCATGCTCTATGGACTAAGCCAGCCAGGTGCCCCCTGACCTAGCTTTTAATACAGGGCTTTTGGGAGGAAAAGAGTAGTTCTAGAGGATGAGACTAAAGCAGCAGTTTCTGCAGCTGTAAAAACAGTGTAACTATAAACCAGAGGGAGAGATGATGGTAGTGAATTAGACCTAGGTAGTTGAGCCTCGTCCACAAATACTTCATCATTGTAAAACATTTGAGAAATTACTTTTGAATATTCAACTGTAACTGGTGCCTCAAATCATTCCCAATGTACTTATTCCTAAATAGGAAGATGGAGAAAGGTAGTTCAGTAAGTGTTAACTTTGGAACAAATACCCAAATAAATGATTATCTAAAATTATATCATTTATTTTTGGCTAATGTGACTTTTTAAACTTTGTTGTAACAGATTGGAGAAATATGGAATGAAATATATGAAGAAATAAAATTAGAAAAGTTAAGACCAGTCACTACAGATAAAAAAATTTTGGAAGCTATTACAACAGCATCAGAAAATATTGGCAAGATGGTTGCTTCTCTTCAAAGCGAGATGATTGAAAGCCAAGCACACCAAGATGTGCAAAGTGAACAAAAAGTATATACAAAAGTAAGTCACATTACCATTAAGGCAGGAAATAATTTCAGTAAACTAGCTGACCATAGGATATTTATGCCTTACTTTGAATGTTTCAGCACTTAGAGTTATTTTGTAGTTTTCTCTTATTTTCAGTGTTTTTGTGCAATTTTTAAAGAAACCATGGAGTTAAGAGGCTAAAATGCAATTACTATATTCAGTACAGGATTATGGCATTGTAATTTGATTTCTACAGGCTTATATTTTAAAAAGCAAAGAGACACCTGTGACACATTTTTTGAAATGTCAAGAGTTCCAAAAATTGTGGTCTATGTAAGTGTATACATTTAGCAAATTCGATCTGACTGTGTATCTGTGTGCCTATATGTATAACCTCACTGTGAAAGCTGGTCCTCGTCCTTCACTCTGTGATAGGCTCTTACTGCCATGCCAATCATAGGCATATTGATGAAGTTTCATCCTCACCTCAGAACCATAAAACTTACAGAGAATGCTCCAAAAATCCAGAGGTAAACTGGTCTCAGACTTTAATCAGGAAAAGCCTGCCAGGAAAATATAAGCCATGTTCCTAAAGATTTCTGTTTGGTCAGAAACTGAACCCAACAGATGTTTTGAGCAAATAGGTCTTTAAGTGGCTCTAGCTTGTCTGCAGATAACAAAGATGTTGCAGATTCCCCACTGCTGCTTGGTGACCCTTTATGATTACAATTAAATGTTTAAAACTCTTTAAAGTCGGGATCCCTGGGTGGCTCAAAGGGATCCCTGGGTGGCTCAGCGGTTTAGCGCCTGCCTTTGGCCCAGGGCGCGATCCTGGAGTCCCGGGATCGAGTCCCACATCGGGCTCCCGGCATGGAGCTTGCTTCTCCCTCCTCCTGTGTCTCTGCCTCTCTCTCTCTCTGTCTATCATAAATAAATAAATAAATCTTTAAAAAAAAAAAAAAACTCTTTAAAGTGATTTCCAAAGTGCTTTCTATTGCCTGATCTTTCACATAGTCTATTAAATGTTTATATCTACAGCCTACTAAGAATTCTGTCTACATCCATCTGTGAATTCTGCTCCATCTGAGACACTAACTTGCTTGAAAGTTTTACTTAAGAGTTTTTATTGCAAAAAAAAAAGTTTTTATTGCATGGATGTTGCCATTTAAGTAATTTATGTGCTCTCAAGTGGGAGAGCCTTATTGGAAGTTCTGCTGCCTCATCAGTTCTGGCTGAACATCTGCTGTGTGGACCAGCCATTCTTGATTTGTTAGTTATTGTTGATTTGTTATCATGGGTTTGACTCCACTTATTTTTAAGCTATTGTTTAAATAATCTTAGGTTCGTAATCCATATTTAATAACATGTTAGTACTAACCAAGGGCATATATTCTCTGATTATATATTTAGTGAATAGCCTGTTGAGAACTATAGTCTCTGCAGTTTGTTGGTGGTTACCTCCCTAGAGGTAACTAGGGAGACTGCATCACCACAACCAACTCAGCACTCTCACAAAACTGCTTGTCTTAAACTGCTACAGTCATAGATTAGTAGTTTTACAAATATAACCTTCTGTAAACTATTATCAGCGGCAGCAGGAATCTCTTTATTTTCTCCTGTGGATTTGCTGTTGGGTCATATATACCTTTTTCTGGATTATAATCTGTCTTCACAAGTGATAGTCACATAAAACAATCAGTCCTGCTGAGAATAATTATTGTTATTTTTATGTTTTGTTTTTATAACAACAGTTTTACATTACATTTCATGGAAAGCAGTTCAAATCTTAGCCATATAATGAAGAAAGGATTTCCCTCCCCCCATTTTAAGACTTGTTGAGCTCTATGAATACTCTAATCCTTTTGCTAGTCAGCCCTAAAATTTACATTGGTAAAATCTAGGTCTTCCCTGAAAATAAGGGCTTTAAAAAGCCCTTTGGTATCCTTTCATAGAAACTAGAACTCTTAATTATCTTTCTCATTTCAGATACAAGCCACACATAAGCAAAGAGAATTGGCTACTAAATCATGGGAAAATTTCTTGGCCAGAACATCAAATGCTAAAGCTTTAAAGGTAGGATTTTTAAAATATTGTGATATCCACAACAAAGAGCCAATTCTTGACAGGCAGACTTTTTCAGGAATAAATATTCATTTACCTTTTCTGATGACTTTTCTGTAGAATACCAACACTGTTAGATCCTCATACAATGTAGGATGATAATTGTGCATTTTCATAGTTACAGAAGATGCTACTTTGAGTTTTATTTGCTCTAGCAGTGGGAAGCAAGGGAGATGATAAAGGAGGTGATCGTTAGCCAGGAATAAGGAGGAGAAATGTGCTCCTACTTTCCATTTTGAGTCTTCTATTCATTGATCATTTCTGTAAGAAGCAGAGTGAAGGACAGAAAAAACTTGTCTGTGTGACCCTCTCCCCCAAGGGTATTTCTCTTCCATGACCACCAAAAGAAAATTAAAACTTAAAATGAGAATTGAGGATAAACATCCTTTGGGAAAATGTGATAAGCTGCTTCAGGGATGAGCTAGAAACTTTTTTTTTTTTTTTTTTTAATTTATGACAGTCACAGAGAGAGAGAGAGAGAGGCAGAGACACAGGCAGAGGGAGAAGCAGGCTCCATGCACCGGGAGCCTGATGTGGGATTCGATCCCGGGTCTCCAGGATCGCGCCCTGGGCCAAAGACCGGCGCTAAACCACTGCGCCACCCAGGGATCCAGATGAGCTAGAAACTAATCTAAAAAGTTTATAATGTTGATTGTTTACTTGAAATATGTGAGAAGCACCATGTATTTCCAAAACTTCATTACTTTTCCCACTAATACTTTGGATATGTTTTCAAGTAATATTATAATTCTTTGACTAGATAGGAAATTGTTGAATGTTAAGCTAGTCCATGAAAATAGTGAAACCACATTAAGGTAGCAAAACCAAAGAATAAAACTTCACTCGAGGTACTGTGTCTCTGCCTTCTCACTAAAAATTCTTCCCAACTTTACTTATAAAATATACTCACAACTGCCTGTACTTTAAAGAAATACTTAATGAAAACCAGCCATTCCATGCAGATCATTTGTTACCTCAAATTTCACCTGTTCTAGTGCCTCAACTACTGAGGTTGAACCTGAGTCTAACAAATTATACTATTTATTTTACTGTGTGAAATAGTTAAGTGTCTTGAATTAGTATCCATGCAAAATATTTTGAAAACCTGCATCGCCTGAGGTAAAGCTAGTAGTTTATTAAATTATGTACTAAAAATTGAATGTGATTTCCAGAGGACCTGCTTTATTCTTTGGGCATATATATATGACTGATACCTCTGGAAATCTCAGTAATGTTTTCAGGTGACTGGTGTCTTCTGCAATGTATGAAAGATGTAGCTGACTATAACTATCTTCTTAGCCTAAGTGAGTAAGTTCAGGTTACAGTGCTACTTAATAAACAGTCCGAGTAGAAGGCACAATTAAATGTACTTCACATACTTCATTGCAAATATGATACTTAATGTCTTAATAGCAATATTACCTTCTTTCCAATTTAAAAATCTTCAGAAAGCAAAGAGACTTCAGGAGAAAGCTATAGAATCCTCTAGATACAGTGAGTACCCACCAAATGCAGTATTTCACAGGACAAATATTAAAGGCCTTAATACAACGGTAAGTTTTGTTTTGTTTTGTTGCTTCATAATTTTTTTAGTAAATACTGAATTTAGACTCCTAGAATGTTATTTCCATGGGGGTTTTTTCTCATATTTTTTTCTTCTCTTTTTCTTTAGTCAAATTTTACTACATAGTTAAGGCATATTTATCTCAAGAATACCTTCACTGTCACCCAGTACTGGTTTAGACCTGATCAGCCCTCCAGGATTCCCAAGAAACTGTTATAAGTTTGTATCTTTTCCAAAGTCAGCTTAAGGATGAATGGGTTTTTCTTTCATTGAAAAATTTTGTAAGTGAACGCTTAGATATATACCTTTTGCTTTTTCAGGTGCCTTCTGGTCGGGTAGTAACAGTGGAAAGCACCCCTGCCCGATTACTGGGAGGACCTCTGGCTGATACAGATATTGCTCTTAAAAAACTCCCTATTCGTGGAGGAGCCCTACAAAAGGTGAAAGCAGTGAAAACTGTGAATGAGTCAAAGAAGAGTGTTCCTACATAAAATAATCTACAGGCATTCTGAAATAAATTTTGCTTATAGTTTTTTAGTTAAAAATATCTTCATAAACATAAAGCAAATATTTTAGTAAAATACTATGAAAAGACTAAAGTAAGCACATATAATTTATTTGTATTGATAATACCTACATATAGCATCAGAAGAATTGTCATCAATTTCTTTGGAAAGATTACTAATTCTCTTAATTGAAATTGTAAAACATATTGTGTCAGTTAAAACTCCTTTGGTTGCATGTGAACTACTCCATCTGTTTTAAGCCAATAAAAACTTTTACAGGCTCTATAGCTATCAAAACTAGGAGTCATTTAGACTGCAGGCATTGCTGCATCTAGGGACTGAAACTCTGTGAGGAGTATCTTCTCCTTCCCTAACAGTCCCTGAATTGTATTCTCCCGAGTTGATACCCAGCAGAGAAGAATACGTGCCTGTCTTTCAACAGTCTCTGCAACTGCCTCTGCATCTTGGGACCCTTGACTGGCCACATGCCCACTCCTGAGCCATTCACCATGACTTTGGCCAGAGCAGTACTGCCTACTCCCAGAGCCAGAAGCAGGCTAACTCCAACCAAAATATATGGATGGGGTGGGAAATCAAGATATTGTTATCATATGTGGATATAAATACTGGGCAGCAAAAACATTTGCAACAAATTTGCTGGTCAAAGTAAAACATCGCTGTTATTAAAAGCAAATGTTGGGGCAGCCCTGGTGGCACAGCGGTTTAGCGCCACCTGCAGCCCAGGGTGTGATCCTGGAGACCCGGGATCAAGTCCCACATCGGGCTTCCTGCGTGGAGCCTGCTTCTCCCTCTGCCTGTGTCTCTGCCTCTCTCTCGCTCTCTCTGACTGAATAAATAAATAAATCTTTAAAAAAATAAAAATAAAAAAATAAAAGCAAATGTTATTCATGAGCTAAATAAAAATTTTTAAAAATGCAGATGGTTTTACTCTTAATACATAAATATGCAAACAAACTCTAATGCTACTTTTCTTCTTTAATGGGGAAGGGGAGGCGACAGTGAGGAAGTATCTTCCCCCCTTTGGTGTTGGAGGTATTTTACCAAAAAATAGGAGATAGATGCCTTAATGCTGGATGTAGAGCAGAGTGTCTCCATATGCTATTAAGAGATTTCCATAGTCCGTCTCCATTCCCATCAACCCCACCCCCCACCCCCAGGAAGCCACAAAGTTGAGTTCATGTCCAGGACTGTGAGAGACAAGATCTTGTTTTCTTAAGGAGGGAAATATACTGGAATTTGAGTCTAGATTCTAGGCACATAGGCACACTCAACAGTGTACTGGTAAATGTGTAACAATCAGCTCTTCAAGGGGAAAATGCCCTCATTTGTAGTGTTTGCCAATTTAGATGGTACAAATACTCCCACTGTGACCAATTACAAGCAACCAGTATGATGCTACTGAATGCAAAGTTGGGAAAACATGCATAAAATCCACTTTATCAAATAAAAGAGGGCTCCATCACCCCCCAGTGAACCCACCTTTTCCTACTTCCTCCTTCATCCTCCTCTTCCTCTTTCCCTTCCCCCAACTCACATTCCTCAAGGAATTTTCTATTATCCCCATCTGTGAAGGTAGCATAATCTGCAATGAGGGGAGAAACTGCAACTGTTGTTAATGTTCTAATTAGAATGAGTTGACAGTACACCATTAGCTAGCAGCTTCACATCCTGGCCCAGCAGCCCATTGTCCTTGCAGCCCACAGGAGTAGATAATGTATATCAGCTTACCAGGGAACTTTGCATCTCCTGAATCATTTTCTCTATCATCGCCACTACCAAGATACTGGAAGGTATATTTTGTCCTCTTCCTCACAAGAAGCCCTACGCACAAAGATTCCATGAAAGAATAGTTACTGGGACAAAAACAGACATGGATAGAGACATGCAATGATGAGATGACCATATGGAAAAGCACCAGATATACCTCAAGTGTATCAGATACAGAATCAAGATGAAGTGTCCATGGCTAAGAACAATAAATCTTTGCATCATTTTGTAGACTATAAGCTTCTTTTTCAGTTGTTAAGCTCCCTAAGGACAAGGTAGAAACCACATTTCATTCATTATTGAAACCAATAATAACATCAGTAAATAAATTATTAAATAAGTGTGATGGCAGCCTCAGCTCCTGACAGCCTTTCCCTTGAGCTCCGCAAATGCTGCAAAGCCCTGAGCTCAAAAGGAAGATTCATCCAAATATTAAACACATAATGCCAAACACAGACATATTAAAGTAGTTGAAATGTATTTACTCCATCCAGTGATAGACCCTCTCTAAAATGGCAAGACATAAATACTATTACATTAACTAATACTTTTAATATTTTTGTAAAGATTTTATTTATTTATTCATGATAGAGAGAGAGATGCTGGCTCCATGCTGGGAACCCGACAGGGCACTCGATCCCGGGACTCAGCCAAAGGATTGCGCCCTGAGCCAAAGGCAGGCACTAAACCACTGAGCCACCCAGGGATCCCAACTAATACTTTTATATAACCAATATGTAGAAATAGAACTGATATTACTTGGCTGAATATAATTTTTATATGTAGCACAACTTGATATCTCCAAACTGATTAGGGCTGACTACAATTAAAATAATCAGTGATATCTGTGGACCTTTCCCCTGTGCTGTGTAGATCTTACCCATCAGGAAAAGAAAAGGTAAAATAGGGCAGGTTGTTACTTAGCAGCCACTTAACAGTTGAAGAAATGAGAGTGGATGGAGGGTAGTGTTGCTTAATCCAGATACTTGCCCTTAGTAGACAGACAATGCATGGAGTTTGTATATTACAATTCCAGCCACCCTTGCAGTGAGCAAGTGAATAGGCCTGATAATGTCACTAATAGGTTTCTCCTCACACCCTGTGCTCCCACACCATTCCTGAGCCCACTTAGCCTATCCAGCCTGACTGAAAAGCAGAGAATATATTTCCCTTCCAGAAGTCAGCTGAGACAAAATTTCAAGCCCTCAAACTGAAACTTCTGCTAATAAAGTAAATGAAAAGAAACTCAAAAGAATAAAAATGGAGTTTAAGGAATATGGATGAAATGTTTTTCCATACACTTCAGTAGTGAGATTTTTACCACAAGAGGGAGCTCATTCCATGATTAAACTGTTAGCCAGTTTTTGCTTAGATTGGATGAAAACCAGTGAATAATCAAGTGAATAACTCATTCATCTCATCCTGAGTCTGTCTTCTGGAGCACACAGTACGTTTCATATCACAGGAAACTATCATGTTCAGCCTAAGTCTTTTCAGGTCAAATATCCATTTTCTGTAATCATTCTTATTTAATTATTACAGACATTATATCTGGCCAGCCCCTTCTGAAGTGCCACCACTTGTTAATATTCCTCTACACTATGACCAGACAAACTAAACAAAGATTTCCAAGTGTAGGAGGGCTGGGATCCCTGGGTGGTGCAGCGGTTTGGCGCCTGCCTTTGGCCTGGGGCGCGATCCTGGAGATCCAGGATCGAATCCCACATCGGGCTCCCGGTGCATGGAGCCTGCTTCTCCCTCTGCCTATGTCTCTGCGCCTCTCTCTCTCTCTCTCTCTCTCTCTCTCTGTGTGTGACTATCATAAATAAATAAAAAATGAAAAAATAAATAAAAAATAAATTAAAACCAAGTGTAGGAGGGCTCATGAAGGACATAATGAAACTAGTTTTCCTTATTTTTGTACGCTTTCTGCCAACACAGTCTAAGCTTACTTAGACTTAAGCTTAGTTTAATTAGCAATTATGTTTCATAATTGTTTGTATTAAATTTACAGTCAAGGATGCTTTTTGAGAAAGAAAAAGGCAGCCCCTGACATTCAGGAATTGGCCTGGTATTATCAGGTCAAAATTCTATAGAAACACGTACTGCTCAGATCTTAATTTCTTTTTTTTTGGGGGGGGGGGGAGATCTTAATTTCTAATAATATTCTCCAATAAAAGAAACCAGGGCTCCTGAGGAAATGGCTGGTTCCAGGGATGGGTGGAAAAACACAAGATAGATCTAGAACATCCTATAGAGTTCCTGATGACCAAAGCTGGAACAATTTCAGAAACAAAATAATAATGTAGTTACTGGATTATAATCCAAAGTATAAATTTAAAAAGTCTGTAAGTCCCTAATATAAATAAATGATGAAAGAAAAGGAATGAAGGAAGTGGATGACACGGAGGGAGTGAGTGTAGACAAATCTCCCATACGAAGAATTCCAGATACTTTATGTAGATATTCCCTCTTCAGTAGGTGGGACATAACTGCTCATACCCTTAACTGTGGGTTATGCTTATTGACTTGCTTCCAAAGAACACAGAGAAGAGAAAATAACATTACAGTGGAGAAACCTGGTATACACAACGTTAGCCAAGGTTAAACATCATCAGTGACAACTCATGTTGATGACATATCCCTTGATCTGAAGTATTGAGAAAAGTACTTTACATTTGCGGTCTTCATCTCAAAAAGCCTATTAACTCAGTCTAACCATGAGAAAAATAATCAGGCAAACCCAAATTGGATATTCTGCAACATACCTGACCAGTACTCAAAACTGTCAAGGTCATCTTCTTAGAGCCTAAGGAGACAAGATAACTCAATGTAAAGTGTCCTGGATGAGATTCTGGAACAGAAAAAGGACACCAGGGAAAAACTAGTGAAATCCAAATAAAATATGAAATTTGGTTAATAATTTATCATTATTAGATCATTAGTTATGACAAACATACCATACTAATGTAAGATGTTAACAATAGGAAAAAATAGGTGAAGAATATACAAGATAGCTCTGCACTATCCTTGCAACTTCTCTGCAAACTTAAAACTATTCTAAAATAAAAAGTTTATTTTAAAGTTAAAAAATGATCTTTTGCCTCAGCTAGTCAGATGATTTTGAATAGGGCAAAAGAGAAATATATATTGTTCCCCATTCAACACATCATGACCACCATTTTTTAACTTATATTTTGATATGAGTCAAGGATTATTTAGCAGTGTACTTTCAAGCCCAGTGAGTTTTTGTTGAATGAATGAATAATGAAAAAAGAATAAATTTTCCATATGCAAATGGCATGATTTGTGCCAAAAATTGTGAGGTGGGGAGGGGATTTTATTTTATTTTTTTAAGATTTTATTTATTTATTCATGAGAGATATACCACACACACACAGAGGCAGAGACACAAGGCAGAGGGAGAAGCCGGCTCCATGCAGGGGGCCCGATGTGGGACTCGATCCTAGGACTCCAGGATCATGCCCTGGGCCAAAGGCAGGAGCTAAACCGCTGAGCCACCCAGGAATCCCGGGGAGGGGATTTTAAACAGAATATGATATCTAAGTACCAGCAAAAAGGCTTAAGATCAACTGTTCTAAAACCAGAATGCTTGTTTTGGCAAATGTCCTTATTTTTACTATTTTTAATAATCCAATGTAGCCTGTAAATTCAACTAAGAGGATTAGAAATCCATTTTGCAATTAACCCATTTTAGAAGGCTAACAAGTTTATTAACACTAAAAAGTTCATCATTGCTGCAATAGAAATTGTTGTAACCACTATGGTGATGACAACTGGTTTTGTTTTTAGGCAAAAAAAAAAAAAAATTAGGCAAAAATTATCTGGTTTTGCCTTATGCCATTGAACTTTTGAGCTTTGATCATTTGCCCACAGGTTGTAAAAGAGAGAGATTCTCTAAGGAAAATCAATCCTTTGCCTCCATCTGTAGGAAATGAATTAGGCAACTTCTTGTGTATCTTTCTAGTCATTTGAATAAGAGAACACAGGACCTATTCTCAGCCAATTGATTTGATGAGGTTAGGGATCTGTCCTTAATTGTCAAGATAAAATATTTTCAATGTGGGAATTCATTAGACTTACAAATTATTATGCAACCAATTATTATGTAAACTCAAGTATATGAAATACTTGTAAAATAATACTTGAAAGCTATGCAATCCATTCATTCTTCAGTATTGGAAATTCTTTAAAAATTCAAAAAAAAAATAAAACTAAAAACATTCTTAACCTGGGGTTCACGACCCCAAACCCCAAAATCATACACAAATGATTGACACTGTGTACATGTAACTCCTACTAAAGTGTCTATAACTTCATCAGAATTTCAAAGTGGTCCATAACTCAAAGGATGTCACACCCCCTCCACCCTTAAAAGTTTATTCTTGGGACACCAGGGTGGCTTAGCGGTTGAGCGTCTGCCTTTGGCTCGGGGCATGATCCTGGGGTTCTGGGATCGAGTCCCGCATTGGGCTCCCTGCATGGGGCCTGCTTCTCCCTCTGCTTCTCTGTCTCTGCCTCTCTCTGTGTGTTTCTCATAAATAAATAAATAAAATCTTTAAAAAAAAAGTTTATTCTTGAATCAAGTCAAACTATCAGTGGCACACTTGTTCAGTGTTATTTTGGGGCTTTTAAAATGATTTATATTTAATTGAGTTTGGGCGTGCAGGCTTTAAAGATTTATTTATTTATTTATGAGAGAGAGAGAAGAGACACAGGCAGAGGGAGAAGCAGGCTCCACGCCGGGAGCCTGATGTGGAACTCGATCCTGGGACTCCAGGATGGAGCCCCGGGCCAAAGGCAGGCGCCAAACCGCTGAGCCACCCAGGGATCCCCGAAAACCCAGGATTTTTATTGTTTCTTAGTCCTAGCAATTGCTGGGCTTCTCCTAAACATATTGTTTGGTTTTTCTTATCAACAATGTGAATCTTGAAACTGCTCATGAGTCCTTCTTCACCTTGAGAAGTAGGACATTTAGACCAATTTACAGCTACTATTTTGTCAAAGGTACAGGTTTTTACAACATGCATTTGAAAGTATTAATCTAAACTACAACTGTATATTATTAGTTTCCTGTCTTCATTTTCTATCATATTAGTTTCCTCATTTACTTCATGCTATCCTATTGCTTGGCATATATTTTTAAAGCTTCATATCCTCTTTGGAATAAGATGTGAGATGTAAATAGGAAATAATAATTTAAAAAACTAAAGACAAAAATTCTACCAGACTGCACTTTAGTAAAACAAAGTTTATTACCTTTGTTATTCTTTTTAAAATATGAAGACAATAAAGGTGACAACATAAAAAAAAATTAGTCCTTAACGGATAGAAAAACACTTTAATACATAGGATGGCTCAGTGATGAAATGTACATTTCAGAAGCCACTCAGTACACTACATCAAGATTAAATATTTTTTAGGACAATACTGGCATTAATTTTGGCACAGTTTTAAAGTCAACATTATGTATAAGATACCTTATAAAATTAGTTACAGCATTACTCCATTAACTACTGTATTTAAAAATATATTGCATTTGCATTTTAAATGCTTTTTTAAAGATGGTTTACAAAGATGCCTTCCAAATAAAAAATTATTGACAAATTATCTGAAAAGATGGAAACGCTAATTCAATAGCCATAAAGCTTTTACGCATCAAAAAAATACAGCTTTCATAAATATTGAAGAATTAGAAATAACAATTTTGATAAATACTACAAGAAATATTTGACCTCAGAAATACTGATAGAATTAAACTTTCAGGTTGATGTCACCTTGCTTGAGGTATTTTCCCATGTTCTCTCTCTTATACGTAATATTCATGTTTTGTAAAATCCAGTCCTATAATATTAGAGAGGAGAAACTGTTAATACTTACTCTAAAAAAAAAAAAAAATACTTACTCTAATGTGACTCTTAATATTTCTTCCTTTTAAATAACCCTACTGAAAAAAAAATTTTTTTTTTGAAAAAAATTTTTAAAGCCTAACTATATGTCCTATGTTTAAAATTTCTTCAATAAATGTAATAGGAATAATTATAGTGTTAAATAGCTTTCTTATGAACTATTCATGGGGAAAATAAGGTAATAATTTTAATGATCTACCAAATGTATATGTAATAACATCTCAAGATCATTTAGATCTTGGGCAGCCCGGGTGGCTCAGCTGTTTAGTGCCACCTTCAGCCTAGGCCTGGTCCTAGAGACAGACCCAGGATGGAGTACCACGTCAGGCTCCCTGCATGGAGCCTGCTTCTCCCTCTGCCTGTGTCTCTGTCTCTCTCTCTGTGTCTCTCATGAATAAATAAAATCTTAAAAAAAAATCATTTAGATCTCTATATCAGAGCCCCTCCAGTTGCTAAATAATATAAAAGTGAAAATCAATTATATAAGAAAAAAATATGGCAAATTTGCTCACTTGTTGACAAATAAAGATTAAATATTTAATTTTTAAGAAAACTAAACTGCTGTTCTCTTAAGTACACATTTAAATTACCTTCTGTTATCTTCTGTGGAAAATTATACTTGGGAGGCATCACCTGTCTTCTGCCCATTCCATGAGATTGTGAAAGCAAGCAGTCTACATACATGTCCCAGAAATCCTGAGCTATGCTTAAGAAGACATTATAATGTCTAGGCCGCTGGGATTTTTGCAAGAACAACATGAAATTCCAGAAAGCATCCACACTGTGCTGTATCTTGAGTTCCTTGAGATCTATCAGTGTCAAAGAGCAAGCATTCCAGCACCGGAAATCAATATCTTTCGTGATGCCGGGGCTGATGCTAGCAAGCACCCCCTTTTGAAATTCAAAATCAGCATTAATCAGACTGATCAGCATCATGCAGCCCAGTGGTAGGTAGAACCATCTTCTTGTGGCAAAACCCATATTCTATACAGGAAAAAACAACAAAAAACAAGGAATATATTTTTTAAAGTTTTTATATTTTAATTTAAATTCAAGTTAGTTAATATACAGTGCTGCAATGGTTTCAGGGGCAGAAACCAGTGATTTATCACCAGTGCTCATCCCACCAAGTGCCCTCCTTAATGTCTATCACCCATTTACTTCACCTTCCTTCCAGCAACTTTCAGTTTGTTCTCTATGTTTAAGGGTCTCATGGTTTGCCTCCCTCTCTGTTTTTCTTATTTTAGTTTTCCTTTCCTTTCCAGTGTTCATCTGTTTCTTTTAAAAAGAATATATTTTTAAGTAAAAAAGAAAATTATTCAATTGCTTAATGATCTGCTTAAGCCTAAAAATTTGTAAATACATAAATATTTGGTTTTGATCAAGCCAAATTTGCCTACTACGTATTGGTTGGTTTTCCTCTAAGTTGCCAACTCTCAGACCTTTCTTTGAAAAAATAGTTACAACTTGTTTACCAACCTTCTGATGAAGTCTTCTGGAGCCACTGAAATCCAAAACATATTTATAACAATGTGATGGATTCCTTTCATAACAGACTTTTAGAGCTGAAAGAAATCTTTAAAAGCATGTGCTCCAACCTTCTCCCTTTACAAACTAGAAAAGTTCTTATGATATGGCTCTGCAAGTTCTCAGGTCTCCTCTCTCTCCCTATCCACGACTCCTACCACAACGCATTCCAACTAAGGGGATCAGAATGGAGCCCATTCTATGTGTAACCATGAGACAAGGGTGTTCACTCTTTTTTTTTTTTAATTTAGATGTTACCAATCTATTAGCCCAAATGGTGTTGAATGCTCAAGCACTAGTTTCAAAGTTACTGATGCTTCTTACATTTATTCATTGCAAAATATTTGTTATGCACTGATGCCTAGTAGGTCCCTGGCTTTTCTCAGGTTGTTCCGACCTGTTTGGAGAAGATTAACATACATACCTGAAGGAGCACGAAGACAATAAAGGTAATATAACTAATAAGATATAGTGCAGGGCCAATGGCATTCGGCAAAATCTTGGCATTCTCTAATGCTTCTTTGTACAAGTTTCCCTGCCAACTAACTGATCACTCAGCACACTGGCTACATAAGTGGAAGTCAAGGACTAAATTGGCTTTGAATTGCCACAGACCTACTATTCCAGGATGGCCCTGGAAATGTCCCTGACACAACCTTGACAGCCTGGATAGAGGAGTGGAGGGGAGAGGGCGCAGATCCAGAAGACTTAGCACCTCCTTACTGATCTACGGCTGTCTGACACCTTCCCTAAAATAAGTTAGGATGAAGAGACAAATCAAAAAACCAATTTAAACTTGTTATTCGGGTCGTTTCGCATCGTCGAAAACTGTGATCCCTCCAAAATGAGCTGCGAGTGCCAATTTATGATACGAGTCCTAAAAGAAAAGGATTGGGCGGGGCCTGAGATTGTCTCCCACAAGAGTTTCGGGCTACCGTCCTGAGCCGCGCCCTCCGGGGGCGGTCATCTAGGCTGGGAAGAGGGAGCCCGAGCGCGGATCCAGTACCTCTCCTGCGCCGAGGCGCGCGTGCAGCGCGGCTGCGCTGGCTCGGGGTCGCAGGCGGCTCCCACCTGGGGGGGACAAGAGGTCTCGGCGAGGGCTCCCGACGACTCCCGGACTTCCCAGCTCCCACCCCCTGCCCAGCCGGACCCACCTCCGGAGGCAGGCGAAAGTGGGGAGCGGCGATCCTCCACGGGCGTCCAGAGCGCTTGGAACTCGTCCTGTGCTGAAGTGTGCTGAAGTGTGCTGAGTGCGCGGCGCTCCGGGGCAGGGAGGCTCCGGGGCTGGGAGGCTCGGGCTGGGAGGCTCCGGGGCAGGGAGGCTCCGGGGCTGGGAGGTTCCGGCTCGGGAGGGCGGTGCTTCGGGCTCTGCGGTGGCCTCGCGGGTGGCGCCGCGGTCAGCCCCGCGGTCCGAACCACGCTCTTTTTCTAGAGAAAGAGTGAGGGGGCAGAAAGTGGGTGGCCGTTCTCCCGAGGCCCAGCCCTCTGCTTGCCCACCTTCCCAGACCCGAGACCCACTGGACCCGCCACGCCCTGCACTGGCTCGCTGCTATCTTGCTTTTCTCTGAATTTCTCGAAATTACAGCGGCTCAGGTCTTCCTCACTCTCTCCCTTACTTACTTTATTTCTCAGAAAATCCATCAAAGCAGTCAGTCTACTATATACCAAAGGTATCTCCTCCCTCCATCCTCCCAGCCCTATTCTACTATCCAGAGAAAAACTTCCATAAGGCTTATGGACCCTATGAAAATGAACTTCCTTGATGAGTTCTAACCTGTAACTAAGTGCCATTTAAATTATTAATACCAACACATACACACCTGCAACATACCTTCCCTTCGACCTAAATACACAGTTTAACTCTGAGAGGTTTCTTTAGCATTTGGTAGAATGAAGATTCAGGGCAAGTCCCTTAAATATCTATCTGTATATTATGCATCAGTTTTAGCCTTGACACATCATTTAGACTATCTTTATGTTTAAGTCTGTCTGCTATGCCCAAATCCCAATAGCAATCATCACATGGAACTGTATGGGAAAATCAACCCAAAGCTAGTTGCCCTATCCCCACTTACCCTTAGGCAGATCACCCTTTCCTCATGGTCTTTTGAGTTGGAATGTTGAGACTCCTGGCCAAACTCAACAGCCCAATTTCCCAGTAGCTGTCCTCCCTAAAGTCCACTTCTCCTAGCCCTATCACTCTTCAAAGCTCCACTCTGCCCTCTTCCACATATGTCATAATCATCATTAGCTCTGCCCTGACAATTCCTTTCCATGTCCCTTCCAACTCTAGGACCAGCTCCTCTACAAAACAGAACTGAGAAGTGATTCCTTTGCTCTGTTAAAGTAGAATGCACACAAATCACATCTCACACATCTCAGGTTTTCTTCACCTCTAGGTTTCTGGGCATTTCAGTCCACTATTAATCACAGATTCTTAGCAGAGTTAGCAGAGACATTGAAGGTGACCTAATCCAACGTCCAGAATCCCTTCTGAAGCTTGAACCCCTCCCTCTACCAAAGCTGTTGTCCAATTTGACTCAATCTTGGGCATTTCACTGTTATAAAGTAAGCAAAGGACGTAAATCAGCAATTCATAGGAGAGTAATAACTAAAATCTAGTATATATAAGACAAGATGCTCATCCTCAAAATAATACATTGTTTTTTCTATTTAAAGTTTAACAAAAATTGAAGCATTTGATATTACACAATGTGAATTATGCAATTATACAATATAAATTATACAATTTGATATTATACAATGCAAATTTTTGAGAAAATGAACACTTTCATGTGAGTTTGAGAAGAATGTCAGCCAGTAAGCATAATCACCATGGAATAAAACTGACATAATTTTTTCCATCTTAAAATGATCCAGAAATTCTTGGTATCTACCATCAAGTCAATGACAGAAAATACCTACTATGTGACTGATTTCTCTCCAGGGTCCATTGCTACATTATAAATATGTGTGACATATTTAACATCATATGACAAATGATGACAAACATAACATTGTTGGGTAATCAAGAAAGTGACACCTCCAAGAAAGAAGAACAGATGAGAGGGAATGGAGAAGAATCAAAAAATAAGGAAAAGGAGGAAGAGGAAAAAACAGAAGGAGGATAAAAAGAGATATGGATAGTAAATTTCAAATTTGTTAATTGATAAATACATAGGGTAAAAGGTGAGATACAGATATTGAATTTACACTTTGGAAAGTTGTTAAATATGTATGGCAAAATTTCTTGGGTAATTTCTAAATGACAGAAGTAAAGAACACAACTTTTGAACAGGTAGAAAATAAAAACTGAATAAACAAAAACAAATTGATATGTGAGCAGTGTAGGTGGTATTGCTCTGTGCTTTGCAGCAAGCTGCATTTTTGTCTTCTGAGTCATCTGGGGTTGGCTGACTATTCTCCTGATTCTAACATGATCCACTGTTACAGTGAACAGGCCATTCCAGGCCCTTCCTCCTGGAGGATTCAGAGAACTTCCAGAAGCATAAGGCTACTCTACTGCTCTAAAAAGGAGTGGGATCTTTTCAGCCATGAAGCTTCTTGTTGAACCTTTTTTTTTTTTTAGATTTTATTTATTCATGAGAGACACAGAAAGAGAGAGGCAGAGGGAGAAGCAGGCTCCATGCAGGGAACCTGATGCACGGACTTGATCTGGAGCCTCCAGGATCATGCCCTGGGCTGAAGGCGGCACTAACCCACTGAGCCACCCAGGCTGCCCATGCACCTCTTCTTAGGTGTGGTGCTGACTCTGCTCTCTGTCTTTATTGGACTAATAGAATCTCTGGGGGGCTTAGTGGAGAGCCCATTGCCTGGGAGCTCCTGGACCACCAGAGGTCAACTACCTAGTACAGAGCCCCCAAGCATGTTCCAGATCATCCATCTAGAAGGGTGTGGATAAGATCTCCTTCCACCAGCTATAACCTTGGATCACTGCCTTAAGCATGTCCAGCCAGGTATCAAGCTCCTGGGCAGCCCAGCTCAGAGCATCAGTGTTATCAGAACTGTTAACAGGCCCTTGAAGGGCCTCTCCATCTGGTTGCTCCTTGTCCTGGAGAGAGCCTATATATATATTTATTTTTTTAAATATTCTACGTATTATTAGAGACACACACACACACACACAGAGAGATAGCGATAGAGATAACAAGAAAGAGGAAGCTTTCTCTCTCTCTCTAAAATAAATAAATAAATATTTTTAAAAATTTTTTTAATTTTTATTTATTTATGATAGTCACAGAGAGAGAGAGAGGCAGAGACACAGGCAGAGGGAGAAGCAGTCTCCATGCACCGGAAGCCCGATGTGGGACTCGATCCCGGGTCTCCAGGATTGCGCCCTGGGCCAAAGGCAGGCGCCAAACCGCTGCACCACCCAGGGATCCCCTAAATAAATATTTTTAAAAAATAAATGAATTATAATGGCAAATGTGAAATATTTAGAACTGTATGATATTAAAAACATGGCATACCAAAACCTGTGAGAAGTCATTCAAATCATCATTAGAAGAAAGTTAGCATCTTTAAATATTTGTGGCAAAAAGGAAAACAGGCTATGAATTAATGATACAAGCAACCAAATTTAATAGTTTGAAGAGAAATAACAGAATAAATACCCCCAAAGGATAAGAAATTTTATAAAAGTACACATTAGTGAGCTAGGGGAAAAAAGTTGATTCTTTTTAGAAAGAATAATAAAATAGACATCTGTTAAGAATGACCAAGAAAAGAAAATGAAAGAAGGTACAAATAATATAAGGAGAAATGGTATATATTTTACTTATAGAAAGGATTAAAAAGATATGAAGCTATGAAGAACTATGATATACAATAAATTTGAAAACTTAAATGAAATTAATAAATTGTAGAAAAATATATTTATAAAATTCGTATAAGAATGCAAAACCTGAATAGTCAATGACATTTAAAGACCTTGAATCTTCCTATTGGGAAAAAAATCAAGCCCATATGATTTTACAGTCAACTTTCAAGGATCAACTATTTCCTGAAAATTAAAAAAAAAGATAAAGCCCCTAAACTCACTCTATTATACCAAAGTGAAAAGATAATGTAAACAAGACTAAAGACACAAGCCATCTCACCAATAAGTACAGATTTAAAAAAACATCCCAGAGGCCCCTGCTGCCTCAGTTGATAGAACATGGAACTCTTGATCTCCTGGGTTGTAAGTCTGAACCCCACATTGGATATAGAAATGACTTTAAAATCTTTTTTGGGGGGGGGATCCCTGGGTGGCGCAGCAGTTTAGCGCCTGCCTTTGGCTCAGGGCACGATCCTGGAGACCCGGGATCGAATCCCACGTCGGGCTCCCGGTGCATGGAGCCTGCTTCTCCCTCTGCCTGTGTCTCTGCCTCTCTCTCTCTCTCTCTCTCTCTCTCTCTCTCACTATCATAAATAAATAAAAATTAAAAAATATATTTTTTAAAAAAAATCTTTTTTTTTTTAAGATTTTATTTATTCATAAGAGACACAGAGAGAGAGAACAAGGTAGAGACACAGGCAGAGGGAGAAGTAGGCTCCATGAAGGGAGCCCGACATGGGACTCGATCCTGAGTGTCCAGGATCACGCCCTGGGCTGAAGGCGGCGCTAAACCGCTGAGCCACCCGGGCTGCCAGACTTTAAAATCTTAAAGAGAAAAAATCCTAAACAAAATATAGCAAACCAAATTTAGCAGGATTTATAAAAACACACATCAGTGTCAAGTACAAATACCACAATAGAAAAATGAGCAAGGGATCCCTGGGTGGCGCAGCGGCTTAGCGCCTGCCTTTGGCCCAGGGCACAATCCTGGAGACCCCGGATCGAATCCCACGTCGGGCTCCCGGTGCATGGAGCCTGCTTCTCCCTCTGCCTGTGTCTCTGCCTCTCTGTGTGTGTGTGTGTGTGTGTGTATGACTATCATAAATAAATAAAAATTTAAAAAAAAAATGAGCAAAGGGCAGCCCTGGTGGCGCAGCAGTTTAGCGCCGCCTGCAGCCTGCGGTGCAATCCTGGAGACCCGGGATCGAGTCCCACGTCAGGCATCCTGTATGGAGCCTGCTTCTCTCTGCTTGTGTCTCTGCCTGTGTTTCTGCCTCTCTCTCTCTCTCTCTGTGTGTGTGTGTCTATGAATAAATAAACAAAATCTTAAAAAAAAAAAAGAAAAGAAAAATGAGCAAAAACCTTAAAGAGGCATTTCACAAATGAGAAAGCATATTGAATGAATGCGTAAGATATTCATAACCTCACTATAAGAAGGGAAGAGCAAATTAAGATCACAATCAGATATGAACTAATACTAACCAGGATGTAAAAATAAAGAAGTCTAACAATATCAATCAAGTACTGGTAAACATATA